TTTTTTGTTTTGGATTGTTGAACATACCAGAGAACGACTCGAGGAACTCCCTTCGCACGTCTTCCTCCGTGCGAGAACCTTCCACGACTTCCGGGTGTGCGCCAGCCCTGAAAGTGCGCGCGACATCATCGACGAAAACCAGGCCATCCCCGTCATTATCTATGTGCGCAAAACGAGAAAGCAGAAAAGAAGTGGGAGAGGTTGTCGTTGATGACTGCGCACCGAAAGGGTGCAAGATGAGTTGCACCAGTTAACAATAAGCATGTTTCGTATTCAACGCACGCTGTGTGGAACAATCAAAACCTACAGTAGTGCTTGAAGCATGTTGTCGGAGAGCGTATCAATTCTAACCTGATATTCGACCATCCTGCAGTAAACGAGCTACAGAAGGCAATCATGCAGCTGTTTCTTGGTCTGTTATTTGTCCTAAGGATACATGGCGTTTGAAAAGTATGACTGACTGGAGCGCACCCCGAAAAGTTACTTCCGAGAGACGGGATCATTCCTACATACGCGACGATTACGGTAAGAGGTCAAAAAAGGTAACAAGGAAAGAATACAGGGGCCTCCAACTTACCCATTCGATCGAAGACCTGATGGGCCAGAGCCAAGCGTCCATCCGGCAGCGTGGTCCTGATATGGCGAAGGAATACCTCGTAGGGCACTTGGCCGTGCCCTTCTTTGTCGAAATGCTTCATGTCATTCCGTGTCATTTCACGTCGTCCGAAACGAAATAGGGCGGCAGGCGGAGATCGTGGACGTCATTATGTGAAGATGGGCGGAATGCAGGTTGCACGTCATTGGCGTTTTCGGATATGACGTCCCTCGTGCTCAAGATTTATCACGGGCTAGACGCTGGAACTATTTAGCATCGTTCCGCTGATCCCTAGACGGAGAAGGAATTTGAACGTTACGCATTCCCCGTGCGTCATTTCGTCATGAAGGATTCGGAAAGGTGGGAGCGCCGAGGTGAGGGGCTACGGGGGTGGGGGCGACAGCTGAAGGCATTCGTTCCCCTGTGCTTCTTGTCTACCGTTGCCGTGGGCGAAGCAGCATCACTTTTGTAAAGTAACGCAGAGACGGGTGCTTCGGAATTCCATGGATATCTTACCGCTAGACGGAAAAAAATGCAGCACACTTTTCATGGCGGTATCAAACGCTGGTGATAGCCCATAGTACTCTACTCGGAAACTAACAGTGGCGTTCTTGCACCTGGAATATTATCCGTATCTCTGCCTCTTTTAGCCCTAACCCCAACGCGGCCGCGCCGATCGCCTTCTTGGACCCGGACAGAGTGACCTTCCCGGCGCCCCCCTGGTCTTCCTCCCGGAAGCCCTTGAGCAGCTGGAACGCCGCGCGCATACCTCCCGAGGCCAGGCTGCGACGTGCACGTGCTAAAAGGCCGAGAACTCCTGAGGATAACCTGGCCGCCGTGGCGTCCCTTTCGCTCCCTTGGTGTAGGATAGGGCCTCGCTCGGCGTTGCTGGCTGTTGGACGGGAAGGGGCCCAGGCTTCGCGGGTCGCGAACGGGGAATTTCCGTCAGCTTCTCCACCTCTCTGTCTACCTTCGCCGTTGCTCGTACTGAAAACGCTGTTGTCGTCTCCTTGTTGTATGCTACCGTGTGCACCATTCGGGCCTCGAATTGCAGTGTTGTAGTTGTTGTTGTTGGTGCTCCCAGTCAGATCGTGGTTGTCAACGTGCGAGGCTTCGAGGATGTTTTTTTCTTTATTGCCATATCCCCAAACGCACTTCATGTGCTCGCAGAACAAGTCGTCGTCGGCCATCGTAGCCGATAATTGCAGGTGGTGCTCGCGCCATTCCCCTCGAGTTACCCTTCCATCGATTTCGCCACCACCTACTTATACATTCAGTGAGAGTTGGTGCGCAGGTAGCGGAGAAGGACCACAATTTTTTGTGCTGAGCTCCGGGAGGAGGTACGAACAAGCACCATGCCTCACAACGTGTTCTTACTTGTGCATGTCACACGCATCTGCCGTGGAATTCAGCATATCGCAGCACAGAGGGAAAAAATCGACATCGTGAGGGTTCCCAATCCTCTCAACGTCGACGCTTCAGGTACTATTCGATCCCGTGGTGAAACTCGGTGGCAACTAAGCAAGTCATGGGAGACCTGCTTACCTTCGAAGGCCTCCAGAAACTCCGACAAAACTTCCGCCTGTGTTCGTACCCCAGATACCACGTCCGGGTGAGCTTCCGCACGGTAGAGCTTGGCAACTGTCACAGGTTCGAGTGTGTGGCTGTGCTGCCCGTCATCAGCGTCGCTATCACCACCAAGCCTGAAGAGCAGTGAGTCGAACACCTCGTCGATCACCTGCGCTCGACGCTTGCTGACCTCTCCCCGCACCGCGCGCAAGGCATCCGCTACGCAGATCTTTCCGACCCCTCTACGGTCTAAATGCCGAAACGCCTGTGACGTCTCGCTCGCCTGCGTCGTTCAGAAACGAGCAGACGCAACATGTCCGTAGCAGAGAAATATTAGAGCACACCAGGTCATCCCGCGCAGAATGTTTCTGTTTGTAGCTCTTAAACACCTTCAAATATGATTTCCACGCCACGAAAGCTCACCGTCAGTGCAGCACCTGCAGAACTGGCAGCGGCGCGGAACGCTTCCTGCGTAATTTCTGCAACACCCCCGTCACTTCCTCGTGCGGCTTTTCGAACGCCTCTACAGAAAGCCGCAATACCGGGCAAACCGTTGGTGAGGATCTGAGAGCGAAGATTCGCGACAAGACCCCCGGCAGCACCGAGGGTATGGAGCACATGATCGTTGTCTAGGACGACCGGGGGCACCCACACCGCCACGATGGCGTCCCTAGGCGATGACGAATGCAAAAAGGTGGAATCGAGGGTGATGAGGCTAGCGTTCAGAGGCTGTTCGTTGTCGTGCTGAACAGTTTGATGCTTCTTGACCTAGCCTACTGCTTGTGTGATTTCCTGCTGGCATTGGACCCATGACGCAAGACCTTGAAAGGCAAGCCGCCTCTGGCAGCCTCTGAAGAATAGTCATACTGAAATTCCCAAAGGAAATGCAACCTGCGGTATGCGGGAACAAGGCAACCTCGTCAGGCGGTACCTCACACCTGAAGTCGGTATCGCTTGTAAATGCCGTGAGGGAGCAGTAAAAGTCGAGGAAGGCGGGGAACGACACCATCGTTCCATGACTGTTGTGCAAGTCCGTGCTTGTGATGTTGGACAGCGTGTGAAGGAAGTCCTGCTGGACTGCGACCGAGGCCTTCTCTCCACGTCGCACACACGGGTGGTTGTTGGCTCGGTAGCAAGCGATTATCTGAGAAAACCATGAAACGTTTTCCGCCGAGGATGCGGAATGGACGATTTAACACGCTTCCAGTGCCTTGGGCAACATCAACATCATACGGGGAAGTCACGACATGAAATGTTTGAAATTCCACCCGAGTCCCAGATGTGTCAGTTCTCTCTGTGCTCCGTTACAATGGGTTATTGTTCAACCTTTGCTCGAATGACGCATGATTAATACGTTTGGACGCATACGAATGACGTCACATTCAGCCGTGCTTAGACCAAAGTTCACTATCACCTTCAAGGCAAGGTAGAAAAACCCCAACTTGACAATGCGAATGTGTTGTAGTGTCTCAGATTCCAATCAGTGCTCCATTTTTGGAGGTATCTTGCACCTCATCACGGCTGAGCAACCCATCTCGGTCTTGATCTATCATGTCGAAAACCGCCCGTGTTAGAGCTACCCGCTGGCAGCTGGTGGGGGACCTCAAAGCTCGCAATATCTGCGCGGGATAACACAACCATCACGCGAAGATGAGTTTTCTTCGTGAGGTTGAGGCAAACACCGCAAAAAAAAGGTCGAGAGACGATAACTCCTACTGTATGTGGTCTCCATTGGCCCAGGCTGGCGCGACGAAAACATTTCGAAAGGTGCAAAAAATGCAAATATTCACGTCCGGAAAAATAGGACAGTAACACAGAAATAGCTGCACAGAACAATGTCGTGCTACAACGAAAGTGCTGCTTGTTGCATCGGATGTTTACCGCAGTATGCATGCCTTTGGGATTTGTAACTCCCTCCTTGGATATGCTAAGTCCCTCTAACTTATACAGATCTCTGGCATTTGCTGGTGTACATGGTCTACTGCTGTAGTCTGCCGTTTCGAGATAAAGTGTTCTACAGTACTCCATGTCCGTACACAACAAAAAACACATAACGAGCACATAATGCACGCGAGTATAACATGCTACGGGATTGTGTCGTATTCAAAACAGAGCGAAGAAAGGGTGTATACAGCAGAGGAAACGATCGGGGCAGTACTAAGAGAGACGTTCATATCCAATGTATGCAAGTCGCATGAAAAAAAAACGCAGTAGGACAGCAGCACCTCGGCAAAGGGGATGCTCTTGTCCTTGCCGCGGAGCGCTCTGAAAAGGATCGTCGCCTCCTCTCTAGAGAGAACGCCATCATCACCACCCGCCGCGGCGATGAACTCCGTCTCAGTGGCCTCTCGCTTACCATGGAGGCGCTGCTCGTGGAGTCGAGCGCGGAACTCATCAAGGCCGTGCTGCCCCCGAACCTGTATCGCGTTGTGTAGTCGCTCCAATACACGGGACGCTCGGAACGACAACCCCATACCCGTTCACGTTCGAAGACGAACCAACGAGTAACCTTGCGATTTTATCAGCCGCAGGCGTTGCGTTAGAGGCGGAGGCGGGAACCTATGGCCGCTCTCAAGTGCTGTTGTCGGCCATCGAGCACATCCGTTGTACTACACACGGACGAGCTTCCCTGCACTGCTGTGCAATCTTGCATGTCGCTTGTAGAAGTGACGGTTTCAGATTTTACGGGCAAATCCCGCCGCGTTCTTCGTTACTCGTCGACTTCATGATTTCTGCATGATACTTCGGAGCCCCCGCCATACTTTCCGTCCAGCTCCCCGCGGGAGCGGCGGCTCTCCGGAGAAGCCATTCATTGCGGCTCTGCTACTGTTGTGAGATGGCCGAGGAAGAAGACGACTCGCTAGATGCGCTTGAATATGAGCTCAACCAGATGGGTCTCAGTGTCGAAGATTTACAGCCCCCTGAAGACGGGCAATTTGATAGGCGGGCCATGGCTCGAGTTGAGTCTGCCCGAATCATGTCCCGCAGGTTCATCGAGAGGGATAGAGTCAAGGACAGGATAAGCGCGCAGACAAAGGTAAGGTCGATGTAGTGGAATGATTTACATGTAGGACTGCTGTTTTAGGCCGTCTGTAGGGTCCCGTGGGCGGCAGTGTATGCCGCCAACGAAATCACGTCACCAACAAGGAAAATCTGGTAGACTACAAGTTTCGTGGGAGTGGTTTGTCGCTGCGTTCTGATTTGTTGGTGGCTTGGGTGGCGGATACCGGCACTTCTGAGATCGCCATTATGGCTGTTGGCCTAACTACCAGGTATGTTTGTAAGGATCGCGTATAATCTCCACCGCTTAGACTATACGTGCTTTGTAGGTACGACGTGCACGTGTGTGCGTTACTGCGTGTGTGTGCGATAGGTGGCGTACAATGGGTGCCGTACGACGTAAACCGTGGATGTTCTGCACCGCTCGGCCGTAAGAGGTAGGAGTACCTCATTTGCATATGCTCTCCCAGTAAATGAAGACTGATGTTCGCCCTACTGTAACTATCTACTGTAGGCCAGTGTTTCAGCAATCGACAAACAACCCCGCAACCCTCATCTGAAAGTTCCTCTAAATAGTAGTCTGTAGTCCGTGAACTTACTGCGAGACCATTCTGGACTTGGAAATAGACGGCACCTGACTCCTCCCCCCTTTTCTCTCGAGAATATCTCTGGGACCTTCTTGAAAAAGCTCACGGTCGTGTACCCTTCCGCATCAGAGGTACCGGCGACGGCTGCAGGAGGGCAAGCAAAAGAAAGTGCAGAGCTGGGAAAAGAAGACGCACCGGAGCCCGTTCCTCATTAACCTACTCGCCGAGGTGCTCGGAACTTAGTAGGCATCTTGAGTTCAAGAAGTGGATTTTGAAGCGGTTGACAATCTCGGTCAAACGTTCTAACACGAAGCCTATTTAGGGAGTCATGCAAGGTAGAATGATTTGTTGCATTTGTTTTCTTCTTACCCGTATAATTCAGTGTAATTATTTTGGGTTGACCTTCCTGTGTCCGCCGGTGTCACCGCCCACACTTTCTTGAGTGTTGGTTCATCATGCTGAGCAGCCCTCCTTCCGCAAGCTGGCATATTATCAACAAAACATAGATCTATCCCTTCATGCCGTACATCATACCGTAAGTCATGCTTGTGCAGCTCTGTGTTCGTGTTTTACAGCCCTTGCCTTGCCGCAAAGCTGTCGAGCAATTCGGCGTTGACCGTGATGCCTGCCGGCAGTGGATCCATGTGTCTATCGTAATTTGTTCTTGGCCTCTACAGAACGAGAGACTCGATGAAGAGAACAAAGTGCGTCTTAAAGAAGAGGCGCGCCAAGCAAGGATTAGGGAAAAACGAAAGGAAGAAGCCAAGAACAACATCATACTGCAGGTTTGTGACCTACCCCAGTCTATTCCTGTACTTGTGTTCGATATTTGTTGACTTGAGACGTCGAGGATTTACGAATCATCAAGGTAAATGGCTTCGATCTCGCGATGTAGTCGGCGTTTTGATTATGGAGGGGAAACGTGACGTTGGTCATGAAGCCGGCGAGCAACAGGGCAACGGTCGTGCCTTGTTGTCGATACCAGACTGTAACCTACCCCGACTGGTTGAAAGAAGAGATCAAGATATGTACTCTACAGCACAGAAGTCCAGTTCCATCGTTCGAGGGGCCGAACAAAGACCCCGTGTTCGTTTGCTTTTCTCGTATGGAACAACATCCAAGCGATCATGCCATTTTTCAATGTGGAATATGCAGGCATTGACAGAGTCTTCCGATCTTGAGGCGCTCCGCCGAGAAAAGCGAGCTATTATTGAAGAGGAGCGGTGCCTAAAGGCGCTCATGGACATCGAGAAGAGCTCCGGGCATCGCAAGGCCCAGATGCTGGCCGCTCTGAGGGCCGAGAAACAGCGCCACGCGGCAAAGGCCGACTATCGCCGCAGACGCTTCACGGACGCCCTCGAGAGTCATTTCGAGAAGGAGGCCGAGGTGCTGCGAGAGAAGCACGGCGTAGCCCCAAAGTAAGGATGGACGGATGCCATGCAAACCAATCGATGAAGCTGTTTCATCGAGAGGAAGGGGTGCAATAGAACCTCCTCCTCAACCACAGCTGCAGGCGGCAGTTGAAGCTGTCTGGATTGCCATAGTTCGACAGCGTTCCTAAATGTTATCACTCAAGTGTAGCATAGTAGTCTCCATCCCAAGCATTTGCATCTGCCGCTGTTTCGAGCCGGCGGATCAAGAACGGCGACGGGGTTTCGCACTTGGAAAACTACCTCCGAGATATAGCACGCCAAATAGGCGTCTCTGTTCTGGGGATGAAGAGGGTATCGCCGCGTTTCACGCCAAGGTTTGCAACCTTTGTAATTCCTTCCCCTCTCTTCGTTTCGACCAATGACAGGGCTACAAACACCTTCTCCTCGTTCGACGGGTGAAACGAGAACTAGACATTTCTTACTCGGAAAGCATAGCGCACGGGTTTTGGCGACCTGTTTTCGTCAGCTGGGACCGCTCATCCCTACAATGCTGTAGCTGGATCGCACTGCCGTAGGACCAGGTTGACTTTTTCCCGTCAGGTATAGGTTCAGATGGGCGGCTTCGGTGTTGGCGAATGCCGTTGTTGCGGGAATGTTTCAAACTCGAGGATGTAGACGCTGCTCCTGTGGCCGTGATTTAGGTACGTACTCCACGACGATTAGGGTTCTGGATGTTTTAGTGTTCTTCTGGAGTCGCCTCCAAACTGAGCCACCAGCGTGCAGAGGAATGTGGCGGGGGCTTGGAAATTGTAACGTGGCGCATTCCCTTCACAATCCTTGGTTCGAGACCATGATATGTTGAAGTGGACCATGTCTCCAAACCAACCTCGTCGTACATTAAGCAAGTTGGGTTGGAGCTAGCTGAAGCGTGTACCAGGGACTAAGCACGGTGGTCCGTGCGCCAGTGTAAACCTTTACAGATCAGTGCATATAAACGGTGTATGGCCGACGAGCGGTGCATTTGAGGGTTGATCTGGACGCTTGTGTAAACGGTGAACTAGGAGGCTTGTACACAAGGTGCTTCATACGAGTACCTACATTTTACATGGTATTTAGGAGGCGGTTTTTAAAGCACGAAGCTCGGCATTTGCATAGAGCAGGAAAATAGTCAACCACAGCATCTATTCCATCCAACGCAACCAAGACTTGCCGTGGCCCGCATGTACTGTGTACAACGCTTGTGTCATGCAGGCAACTTGAGACAAAACTCACAAAAACATGTCGAGTGGTCCCACGTACTTGGGTCTCCCGTCACTTTACAGAGTCTGCTCAACCAAAAATAACGGGGAGGATGTCAAAACCACCGCCACCAACAACAAAATCAACGACAACGGCGATGATAACAACGGAACACCTTGTAAACAACGATTCATAGCATACATGAGAGGGCGGACGGCAGCGACCAACCAAAAGCAGACCTAACAAGATCACGACAACAGCAGAGCAACCGAAATGTCGAGCGCAGCTCTAGATTGGCTGTGACTTCACGACATTCCCTCGGCTATTATGGTTAGCATCTCGCATACTCGACCAGCAGATACTCGCTTGAGGCCGGCGGCGGCGGAACCTGGCCATTTGTGGACAACAAACAAGCAAACAAAGGGTTAGTCTCTTTGTGGCTTGAGAAGATTGTGTCCGTTTCCGTTCCCGAAAAAAACACGATGCCGCACTGCTATCGAAAATAACAAGACATCCTTTCGAGAGTCGAGCAAAACACGCGTGCCCTCATCATGCACAGCCAAGGCCGACCTAACGCGGACTGCTCGCGCACGGTACGGAACGTGAACCTCACACGACACAACAATCAATCTCCCCAAGGCGACAGGGGCGACACAGTCGTCACTCGCACAAGTTATAGCTTGTACTATCTTCAGAGAGAGAGAGAGGGGGTCCTGTACAACGTATCAGCCTAGCACGAGCTGTCCCAAATGTACGCACCTTCTCCCACCAACCCCACACAAACAGTCGCATCCTCGCGAAGAGCGGTTCTCGGAACTTTCTCTTGGCAGGCGGAGCCGACGTGCACTTCTTTCGCCCCCGTATGCAGCAAGAGTTGCTTCACGTTACCATGTGTGACCCCAGCACCTGCAACGGTAACGGTCACGACACCAGGCACGATGCTTTTGGTGGTTCATCGGTGTCGATAAGAGTTCACGTTTTATCTTGCACGATGCTGGAAAGCAACTAAAACCCTTGACACAAGGTAGCCTAGGGGCGTGCGTGTTGTGTGTGTCTTCATTATTAGCATCGACCGCGCTAACCGGCTGACCAATGAAAATACGACAGTCTCAGTGCGGTTGAAAACACAAAACACTTTGATATGCCAGTAACAACTGGGACCCCGTGAGGGGGCGGCATGGGGGAGACTAAGCTATTCCCCGGATGAATGTTGGGTGTGCCTTTATTATAAGCATCAACCGCGCTAACCGGTTGTGTTTGGTTCCGTCCCATCTACTCTGAGCGCCAGTCAAAAATATTCAGCATGTGTTTGACCCACCAGCCTGGGTCATGCAAGGAGAAAATGAAAAACATACTCAAGTATGAGTCTTACGTAAAAATGCCACAAGCTTGTCATAGTAGTTCTCTTAGCAAAGCACGCAGCGTGCACGACCAGCATCTTTCATGAAGCTCCTCTGCAAAGCATTCAGTAGCGTTATTCATGATGAGTGTTGCTCCATGGACAACCCACACGGCGCCGGTGCCACGACGCCGAATGGTGTTGCACGTTCAATAGAAGCACGCCCGCTAGCTAGGGAGGTGGACACCAACCGTGGATGCACCTGGCAGGATACCGATGCGCCCCCCAGAAGCCTCGACGAGTCGAGATATAACCGCTCGCCCGTCCCACGCACTTTCGTGTCTCCCCGAGGTTAACACGCGATCGACTCCCAGTCTGAAACGTCCATTACGAACGGGGCGGAAGAGGGGGAGGGGAGGGCAAGATGCGGAGGGGGGGGTGACAGGACCACCGTAAGCACCACGCCGTGCTGCATTTCAGCACGTTTCCCGTCTACTGACAGGTCTGTTTGGTGCATGCAGTAGGTTGTCGCGGACGAGAGCGAATGCTGCGGCAAAGCGAGAGCATCCAGCAAGCTATTTTCATTCATGGATTCTAATGCCTGCCCAGGGTCGAAATAGATGGATTCAAAAAATCTCCTTTTTGAAGCGCGACAGCAACAGTGCATTTTCATCAATCGAACCAGTGAATCGTGAGCTGAGCATACTACCATCACCAAACTGTTATAATTGTGACGAACCGAACTTGTCGCAACCTAGGTGCACAGTCTAGCTACCCTGAGCGATTGCCATCGCAAATGTAACACAGATTGAATTGCAAATGCTTCTCGCCAAAATACAGCCTGAGGAACACAAGCATACCCAGTCTGAGCCAATTGCGTGTAAACAGCTATTAATAGCGCATTCATTGCACCTCACAAGCGATTCCATAGCTGCAACCTCATCGGTGGTGCAGCAGTCGAAGGCCCGATGAAACGTGATGCTACACGCGTCCTTTGCCGCTGCCGTTGCCGCTGCTGCTGCTGCTGCCTTCGCCACCTGCACCAGTCGCTCCGTTGTCTCTAGGTCGATGCTACCGTCTTCAAGCAGCGCCTTTCATGCCAGAGAAAGGCACGACCAAAGTTTCACCCAAATGCCTCCGGGATACGCAACCCTTTGCGCTAGTTCTGACCCATTTATTTCGCTCAGAGGAAGCCCAATGGCCTACACACTGGGAGGAGAGCAAACGTGCCACGAACTCATGAACGAGTTCAACGCCAAAACCAGCAATATTGGAACCCGCTTCTTGGCTCGTGGGAGGCGAAATATATGTACAAAGAAATCCCCCACGTGCATCCCGTACGCAGATTTGTTTCCATGAACGTGGTGTCGCGCAGAGAGGTGGGCATACCGCTACACAGACAGCATGTGCTGCTAAATACTGTATTCCCGAGCAAACGATTAGAAAGGCCTACCCCGATGACAACTCCGTGCGCCCCAGCCTTGACCGCCGCTGAGACGTCCTTCTCCATGACCTGACGCGACCAAGGGCAACCGAGCGCGAAAAAAAAACGGCGCATGGGCATGAGAGAACATAATTGTAATGAACAACGAGGGGCGTTAGGCTTGGGAATGGAGGGCATACAAACATGCCGTTTGGTGTTCCCGGGATGAGGTCGAGTGATTTCGTGAGACAGCTTGTATCGCGCCGTGGTGTGGTTAGGGCTGACTCCCTCGGTACGACGAATCAAGCCACCGCTTTCGCTGGCTGTTTCCTTCGCATCCGTTGATGAGGAGTACAATAGTTGCCGCTGAGAATGCATCGCGGAAGGAACGTCACATACGTACCGAACGGGTGTAGACTGGCGCCAGAGTAGATGGGACGAACACACACACAAAAGTAAGACGGACACACACGCTGCTGTTTGTTGTAAAAGCAATGATGTACTTGGGATTCAGGCTAAGCTGCTGCGCGTTAAGCTATTTACCTGCTTCTCGAGGACGGAATACACGAAGTCTCCTGGGCGTGGTCGGATGAGCACGTGGACTCTCGTGTGAGAACCTCTCACAGCCAGCAAGGCTCCTTCGATGTCCCCGGCCGAAGGCGTCACCCCGCCCTGCCCAAGAGGACATCGTGTTTTAGTGTATGGAGCATGCAAAGAGGTCCGCCCATTGCATATCCGTCCGTCTCCTCCCGTACTCGATACGAAGAGCGACCGGTGAAACGTGGAAAGAGGAGCTGGGGACCGTTCCTTTTGAAGGGAAGTTCTTTCTTCTCAGATTTCTCTCCAATAAATCCGACGTCCAATATACAGTCAATAACCTCGACGCACGTCAGTATTCCGGGCCTACCTGAGCTAAGTTGGCGCAGAGCTCTATCCGATGAGCACCCCCGCTCCGGGCTTGGCTAGCGGACTGCGAGGGCGGCCGAGGGGAAAGGTAAAGAAGAGAAGTTGTTGCTGAATCTGTCCTGATGTTGTTTTGAGGAGGTAGAGAATTTGACACAAGATACCACCCCCCCTGGGTCGATTTTCAAAGCTCGATTGCTCCACGACCAAGAGGACACTGCATCAAAATACACGTTTAGGAAAGCTCTCGGCGAGGCAATTCCAATGCCACCATTTCGGGCACTGAGGCTTTGTCTGCTTTGCAGTAACCGATCTTTTGAAAATCGATCCTTGGGGTGTGGTATCTTGTGTCACCTATGGTATGCTGGGGACTGGGAACTGGGGCCTCCTGATTATCAACATTTTTGTGGATATTCACGAACTCACCTCTACGCCCTCGAGACAGCATTCTAGCACCACATCAACAGTACCCTTCCCATCCGGCACGATGCTTGCCATCACGTCTTGCGTGTCCTGTGGTCGAGTGTCGAGTGTCGCGTGGTCAAAAACCTCGTGCTGTGCTTTCACTGGAAATTCTGCTGACAGTCTCGCGGCGGGACTGTAAGACAGACACCGCACCAGCACACCAGCACTCTCCGCAACCCACCGACAATCCTCGCTCTCAGCAGCACATGGCAAGGGAGGCAAAGGGGACCAACAAGTGAAGATAACAACAAACCTCGTCGTGCCGTACGCCATGGGCATATTTATGAGGATAACTGTTCTATCCTTCCTCCTGGCCGAAGTGATCTCGTCAGGTACCACGTGAGCCCTCATCTTGTACAAGACCTTGTAAATACCATGTGGTAGACATCAAGACTTTCAGACGACGCGGAGCAGGCCGAACAAAGCCATTGTACTGCCCAGATGGCAACGTAACCAACACCCGCCACCGTAGAATAGTGAATTAGGGTCTTTTAACTGGTCAAGGTCGTGATTTCAAAGCCTGGCGTGACACTGTCAGACAGCTCTTTGGATGATTCAAACGCGCCGATCGCACGGAAGGTGGGTCCTTCGAGCGAAGGTGGCAGAAAACATTACTGCAGCAGTAGTAGTTGTGGAGGTCAGGATATGGAGATTCAGGGAGCACAGATACAAGTACATAAAGAGTAGGATCTGAGGGAATATGTGATAATAGATTACTGTTCTCCGAGGGTCCCCAACTCTTGTGATTCCCAACGGCTGCGAAGAGTTGATGAATCTTCAGAAGAATGGAAAAATGGGTCCACGAAGCTCGCCCATCTCCGCACCACCCGAGCTTGACTGAGTTCGCTCGGTCACGCTTGGCATTCCCGCCACATTGTACCAAACGAATATAGCCAACCTCCGGTGGTAGGGCATAGCCACCAAAACCCCGGACTCTCCGCAAAACCCAGAGTAGAGGGCCCCATCTTTCGACGAAGCGTTCTATCTTTACAACCTACGTGTGAAACATGGGCCCCAATCCAAGGAAGCAAGGGAAGAAAAAGGACGGAGGGTCGCAACAACAGCAGCAAGAGCAGAAAAAACAAAAGCAGCTGACGCCCAAACCGTCAGTAACGCCGCGTCCCGACGCTGCTGCCACTACCAACCACGGCTCGGCTAAGCCTCAAGAAGGACAGCCAGCCTGCCCAAGCTGGGGAATCCGCCGGTGCGGCTGCGAGCGTAGCACCTCGCAGGGCAGTCACCATCGCGGGTATTTCCACGCCCTGGTCGGTGACGGTCGTGACAGCGACAACAACAGCAGCGCTAGCGACGGCGTCAAGGCTGGTACCGAAACCCTCGACACCGACCCACCCCCTGACGACGACGATGACGATGACGACAACGTCGACGACGACCTTGCACACGACATCCTGCAGAACCGCGCCGACGAAACCGGGTTGGGTCGGTGTCGAGGGTTTGGGTTTTACCAGCCTTCGCGCCGTCGCCAGCGCTTCTGTTGTTGTCGCTGTCACGACCGTCACCGACCAGGGCGTGAAAATACCCGCGATGGTGACTGCCCTGCGAGGTGCTACGCTCGCAGCCGCACCGGCGGATTCCCCAGCTTGGGCAGGCTGGCTGTCCTTCTTGAGGCTTAGCCGAGCCGTGGTTGGTAGTGGCAGCAGCGTCGGGACGCGGCGTTACTGACGGTTTGGGCGTCAGCTGCTTTTGTTTTTTCTGCTTTTGCTGCTGTTGTCACGACCCTCCGTCCTTTTTCTTCCCTCGCTTCCTTGGATTGGGGCCCATGTTTCACACGGGGATTGTAAAGATAGAAGGCTTCGTCGAACGCCAATATATGCACACAATATGGGCTCCAAAGTAGACGGCCCCATATAGTCATCCAAAGCTCTACCGAAGCACTCTTTTTCGTTTTGCTGACACAACTGCTGCACTACAGCAGCACTTTTTGTAGCTTTGTAGCAGATCAGGGAAATCAGGTCTGCCTCGAGTCAGCAATTATGCAGACATTGTACAGCATAGTGTGTGGGCCACGTTGTGCCACAACGCAGCTCAGGCACTCTCTTCATTTGCTGGTTCACCTACAGTCATAAACGCCGATTCCCCTGCTGCCAATGACATGTGTATGCGGAACGCAGATTCACCTTCTTTAGGGAGCCTAGCGCCTCGTTTGTGAGGCGGTATTTGGAGCGACAGGACACAGGGCAGAGCCCGGTCAATCATGCTTTTGCAGGATTTTCCGACATTGCAGCCGCCGGTGGCGATGCCGCGGTCCCTCCTCCGCCGCCACAAGGATTCCAAGAGAGAACAGTAAGGCAAGAACAATACCGAGGTACAGCAGAAGTCTCCACCTGCCAACTCAGAGTCTCTTTGTTGTGACGGTTTTCGCCTACCTCCAGCCAATGTCGGCGCTTTTCTTATTTTTTTTGGTTTGCGTTTGCCCGTTGCGGGTGGCTCTTGGCTTCCGGTTAACAACCCCATCGGCGCACGCGTGTTCTCCTACAAGCCAGGGCGCACCTTGGGAGCGGCAAGGAGACATATGAGCGAGGCCGGGAAGCACTTCTGCGGTGGCAGATGCACCATGGATCCTCGTGGGCGAGAATATTTCTCGGGCAGAGACCTCCACGACCCGCCTTGCAGGTATACGGCCTCGCCTGCGCCTGTGTACGGCCCCACCTCTCTCTTGCGCTGGCCCTCTCTTGCGTGTGCTTTGTAGCATTGACTTTGGCCTTGTCTGTTGGCGGCCACAGAAGTACGGCCGTTGTTTCGACTCTTTGTCTGTTCGGCTTGATGGACTGACGCTATTTTATACTCGGCGAGTGTACAACAAGCTACAGAGTGGTATGCTACCCCGGTGTGCAAGGCCTAAGCTCCCTCCTTCCTTCTTTCGTATGCATAGCTCGCCGAACGTATCAACCATAATAAGTATTATCGCCAGATCAAGCCCAGAAGTCGCAGTAGCACTAGTGCATCCCACCCCCCATTCGCCCACAGCCATGTCGCCGCTGTGCTACACGAAGTCCACGCAGAACGCGGCGGCGGCGTGTACGTAGCACCTCCTGACATCCGCGTGCATCACTCCCCTCCCATCCCTCTGCCCGTCCCCTTCTGCAGCGCAACCTGGTGACAATCGCCAAGGCTTGCGCCGGGCTAGTCTGGTGCATCAACCCATGCCAAGTCCTCTACGAACGGAGCGATGTAGCTCTCCGGTTTATTGCACCACCCGGGGCAGACGCAAACAGATCTCTTGACGAAGGAGGAGCACGTCGAGTAGAAACCACAGAGCGCGTGATGGGGGGTGGCGGGGGGGCGCTTTGGGCGGGTAAACGACCAGCCTCTGCTCCGACTTGGGCTTCGTTCTTGCCGGGCGTGAAACACAAGGGGCGGCAATCGGCTGTGGCGTATGCGACAACAATGGGGCACCTCATTCAGGCACGGATTCGCCGCTGTACTTGTTGAATGGCTTACGTCTTATTTCCCGCCCTCATTTCGACACAAAAGTTGCGAGTCACGTTGAGCTGGGCACATGCGGTTGTGTCGCCTCTGATTGGATGCGGAATTAGCGACCAAGTCGAGGGTGTACGGAACTGTGTCCTCGTGGTAACAACATGGGCTGTCTCAAGGGTCACGTTGAGGGCGACACGAAATAGCGGAAGACGAAATGAGTTCTGCATGTTTGTTGTCATTTTTTGCCGGAGCTCACCAACCACGACTTCGTTTCCGTCCAAACGAACCCGGTGACCACGCTGGCGTGATCCTGCACACACACCCCTTCCACGTTGGAATGCATGTATACGTATCGCGTTATCAACCTCTTTGCGCGCGCGGTTGAATCGACTACATATTGCAAATATGTGCCCCGGTTTTCTCTTGGCTTCTTCTCACAGGGGGAAGAAAGGATGCGCGTACTTCATTTCTGCGGTCCAGGGGGCGATGATTCGGTGTGGTTCGAGGTCTACTCGGTGTCCCGAGGAGCCGGTCTCGTGGGAGGGCTCGTCTTTCCCTTTGTCCAGTCGATGCAGAGGAGATTTTTCCGGGAGCAGGCCGAAACAATGAGGCGCGTTGTCAATTCCTCATCTGGCTTCCCCTAGCACATGTATGTAGCAGACGGTGGAGGTACAGGAGGGAAGTTATCGAGTCTTAGTGATATCGCAGCATATTTTTGTTGGAGTTTATGAGTACGGCAGTTGAGGAGCGTCGTCACCATTTACTCTGGCAGACAACAGCCGGTGGGCGCCTTCTCATAATATGCTTACAGTTGGGCGATTTCCGCTAGAGAGGGCTATTTGTTCCGTGTAGTCGAACGACCGCAGCATGTATGGAACGGCAACGTCGTGCGAACATGTCCTGGTTTTCGTTTCTTTTGAATGAAGTGGATAGAATAAAATGCTGAGCGCACGATGAACGCCAGGTGCCACCAACCGGCGCAAGCGCCGGCTTTACGTATCATTGATTTACAGAGTTCGTTGCTGCTGTGGTGTAAAGAAGTCTGAAGAAGACATTATGCGTGTATATCACGTTTACTTCGTCATTCGTCTCGAAGGATTCCTTTTTGTCTAGCAGTCGGGAAAACCCACACATTTTGTTTTTTTCTCCCATCATTGGACTCTGTCGTCTGCCCCTCTGGCCCCTATCCTCCACTTCTACCAGCTAGACGACCCAACCGGGGTCACATAGGAGGGGGGGGTTGGACCCCCTCCTGCGGTTCCTGCCTGAGATATATTTATCGCGAGAAGGGTACAGCAATCCCTTCCCTCGCGACTTATGAAGTCGATCAAGTTTACTATCAACGAGCTTTGCAGCGCGTCGCTTCCAACGGAGAGCAGGATTTAATAAGCGAGAAAAAACCCACTCTGTCGGGACTCGAACCCATGACCTGGCCCTTAGCAGGCTGCATGTATGTGTTTGATTTTTCAATACGAGAGAGAGACAGCTTGAGGGGGGACTCGTTTCTTGCAAGTCGTGGATGCGACTACAGCAGTAGACTATTACATATGTTGCTAACAGCGCACCCCTCTCTACAACTCTAGCTGGAACAACGTCCGTTGGAGGTACATATAGGTGCGTGGAGGGGCTGGGGTGGGGATTAATGCGTTGGTTGTCCGGGCTGTCCTTGAGCTCTCCCGTCCTGACGCCTCATTAACTTTTGTTGAGAAGCACAATGACCACTAGACTACTAGTCAGCGCTGACTAGTAGTCTAGTGGTCATTGTGCTTCTCAACAGTGTGCACATGTAAAGTATGTGATACCGGGGGCAAAAGCACCCGCCCGTCCGTTCCAAAGAGGGGTTTCTAAGAGGACACCTCTCCCAAATACCTCACTTGTTGTACTTTGTTCCATCAAAGATGGCATGGACCACATGGGTGTGTCGCATACTGCTCCCAACAGCAACTACAATTTGGTATATATGTAACGGTAGACTACGTACATCCATGAACCACGAAAACGGCCACCATGACAAATACTGCGGAAGAATCGCTATAGGCTAAAGGCTGCCAAAGAATACCTCAATCGACCGCGTTCGAACTACAATACGTAAGGCATTTACGATCGTGTTACGGTCTGACGCCGCGACACGAATAGTCTAGAATAAGACAAACAGTCGCTGATGTACGGCCAAACGCACAATCATTGGAAACGCAGGGCCTCAGGAAACACTAAATATCCATCCCGGATCTGCCTAAGCTTTAGTTTAGTCCACAGACTCGTACACGGGTAGATTCCTATTTTGGTACTGTTTTCGTACGGAAAACAGACTTAAAAACAGTTCGGGCATTGCCCCTTGCCGATCCCAGGTCCCAAGGTACCCCTAGGTTGCTCTGCACGTTCCAAATACCACACAAGCTCCTCACCCACGACCTCGCTTCAAACGTCTGCGTCATCGATCCCACATTCACATCTCTACAGTAGTCTAAACAATCAGCCCTCAATGGCAGGGCAGCTGTGGTCACTGGCCGCCCACATGAACCCAATCTTCATCTTCTTCCCCTCGCCACTGGAACGCCGACCCTGCCCGCGAGACTCGACGAGAGTGATCCTTGTACGTGTCGCCACGCATAGTGTAAGACCTATTTACTTTGAGCAAGGCTCGAGGCGTTGGATTGTCTCACGGGTTGAACACGGCCTGTTACAAAGCTACCCACTAGCCAAGCTTGTTCCCACAACGTAGGATTGGTTCAAATCTCGTTTTTTTTTTCTTCAATATCACACAACAAATCCATCTCTATCTATAGAAATAAGTCTAAGATAGATTAGCAATGAATCCATAGCGTGAGCGAAAGGCTACCTGTATATGTCTACAGTTTCCCAGACAGCATACAACGATAACTCTCCTGTGGGTAACAGGCTCAACAAGGCAGTTTGGTAGCCATCTTGTGTATCTATCTGTATGTTATGTTGGGAAGTTGTAGACGGAAGATTAAGATGTAGGGAGGGGAACTCGGTTTGTCGGGTGTTCTATTATGATTATAGCACCCTTATGTGGTTGCGTTTTCAAATCTTTGGTCAGATGATGATCAGGCCGGCACTATGCAAGCGTCAGGCTTTGGATCACTACATAGACTTATGATGGATTTTCTCCATGAGGTATCAAAGTGCCGTCGACAACACTTGTGGACCACTGTACACAAGCCAGCAGCCACAAGGAGGCACATTGGTTCCGGGCATTATTTTTTGACCCACGTCAAGTCGGACGGACTTGCGGATCATACAAATCTAAATCTGTGGTGGGTGGGGTTGAATTTGCGTCCCCCCCCCCACCGGAGAGTTCGAATTTGATTTGTCTGTTGTGTGTTGGGGTTGTGTCCGATGTTCCGCGAACCATCCCTGGAGACACATCAAGAACGACGCACCATCCACACTTTTGACCCGCGGGCAGTTTCCAACAACGACAGCAGTGCGCAGAACACCACCATTTTGTCATCAGCCAGAGCGTATTCCCTACCCAAGGCTTGCAACAAATACCCGGCGAAGTCTTCTGCTGCGAGGGCGGTCGAGTTTCCGATCATCAGTCGGGAAAACACACACAAACAGGAGGGCGTTGCGGCTTGAAGAGCCAGTACATTGCGACGGGCAGAGGCAATGTCGCGGCGAATTACTTTCTTGGGGGTGATACGGTTCACGGACCGGGTGCTGGTGGCGGGATACTCTCCGTCGGAGGCAGATGACTCCCTGATCATCAAGGAGGTGAGAAAGAGGCCCGTGCGGTCGGTCGGGTCGACTCCGGGTTGCCGCGGGTTCAAAACCTGAAACGGCGGGACAAGCGTGTGTGTCCTCGCAGCACGCGGCGGGCACACAGCGCCCCCCCCCCCCTCCCTGCAGTGTCGTTGGCAAGTTGAGGCTGTGATCGGCAATGCCTTTATTGTTGGTCAACAACAAAGCAGGTGCTCTCTTTCTCAAGCAACACGCAACAATAAGTCCCAAAAATCAGTATTCCAACAGATAATTCCTCTCTACAAGTACACAGGTAATCTTGAATTTCATTCAGTTTCGTTATCTCCGTGCTGCTGTAGAGTCCCCCAATCACGATCAGCGGAAGTAGACAAAAAATACAAAGGACAGAGGATATCGGAAGGTCAACGAGCTGATGTATTGCATGCATTACAGCAGCAAGGCAGAGAAGAGGTAACCATTCTGATGCATCGTAGGACCCTGCAGCAGGCCAGGTGATGCTGCGGATGCTTATTTTTGTTGCGCAGCTGGCGCTATTACATAGATTTGACGCACGCAAGTTCATCATCGACGGCCGCAGTGCAAATCATTCAATGCTTTGCACGTGACAATGCAGTGTTTCGTCTATACCGCCGACAACGTACGGGAGCGTACGGTACTCGGAATGCTGCCCTGCATCATGGACACATCCCTATCTCACTGAAGCAAACGTAGCAGTCCTACCGCCCTACCGCTGCCAAAGTAGCGGTAGATGCGTCCTACAGCGTCGTAGCATCGTCCGAATCTACATCTATTAAAAGACCAATCATGCTATCCGTCTGTTGCGTCCTACAGCGTCGTAGACCAATCACCTATCCGTCTATTCAAAGCTACCCTTATTCATACATCCAATCTACACCCAAACAAAAAGCGAAACTCCAGTTGATTCACTATAAATTTGTACAGCTGTAGATGCGCCCGTAGGATTGAAGAACCGGTGCGAGACGCAGGTTAGGCGAGTTTCACGACGAGTGTGAAGCATGGCAGATTATGTGGCCGCCACCCGTTGTCACGCCCTCTCATCTAACTCTTATCCTCTCGCTGCACACATGACACCTCAGCTTATGTCCAACCCGGACACCTTCGTGGAGCCTCGCAAGCGCTACTCCGTGGAGGGCCGCATGTTCTCCATCCACTTTGTCGCGGACGACAGCAACCGCATCTACAGCTGCGTGACGGACAAGGAGTACCCTGCGAGAATCGCCTTCACCCTGCTGGAGGAGGCACAGACCAAGTTCCTCACCAAGGTGTGGAGGATCGTATTCAGATGTACTTCTGCAGCTGCCAGCCCTACCCGAGCGTTGCCGGTTGGAGTACTCAACTTGCCCCCTGCTTCCGCAACCATTTCAAGGAGTTTTAAGTCTCCTAGCAGCACTCGCTGCGGAGTCCGCAAGTATTGTAACGTTCGTACACGATGTAGCACAGGACAGTTTACAATGGATATCCAACCAACAGCCACAGGTGTGGCACCATTCGTTTCGAACCTCGACCACCAAGCGATGCAAGGGAGAAACGGTCATGAAGAGGAAATAACAAACAGGGGCAATCCGACACCCATCTCGCGTCACTTGAATTCCGAAACTCCACAATATGTATTGTAGGCTGGCGCAAGCCCAGTTCACCCACCGCACGTCCGAGGAAGACTAGTTCGCTAGAAAACCGTCGAAATTGCGCCCCAAGTACGCTCCGGTCAGTGTCATCCGGACGCGGTAGTTGACCTGCCTGTTCCCCGCGCGCGATCTGTTCGTTCCAAACCCATCCGAACGCGGAATAGAACCAGGTGATGAAAGTCTGGTACATAGTCAGTGCTAGAAAAAGGTCTGTTGGTCCGGCGTGGCTTAGGTAATTGGCCCGGTCCCGGTGTCTAGGCGTATGCAGGACGCGGGAACATACCGGTGCCGCGAACAGGCCAGGCTAGGGCGGTGCTGTCTAGCTGGCTGTGGCTGGCTGGCCGATTGTGCTGGAGATTCCAGAGCCAGGCCTGGTCCACTAGCCTTTTTACACCTTAGCCGCGGTCTTTAAGGTGGTCGCCAAATGTTTCCCTCCTTTGTCGAGCTGCAACACTTGTGTATTATCGCCCTGTTTGGATGATATGGGGACAATGCTGTTTCTACTCATCCTTTTGAAGAGCTGCTGCGCTGAATCAAACTTGTGACGTGCCGCTAATTATGATCTTGGATTCAACACAACAGCGACGTTGTAGACCGCAGCAGTGCCCCAGAATTAGACAAGGTCGTAGGTCCCAACTTTCCGCGGTTCTGGTTGGCACGGAATGTTCTGCCTTCCATTTTATAGCATTTGAGGGTTAAAAAACCCTTGCTCACAAAGGAGGCCAGCCTGGGAGCGATTCAGCGAGATTTGACTAAATCGCACAGGCCCATGCTTGGCACGTTGCAAAAGGCATCGATGATTGCGCGTTCATGTCCACATTGGTTGCTGTCGATGACAGCCCTTGTGGCCCATTTAGTACACAGCTGCTTCGTCTGATGCGACGGTCGTTGGTGCAGCGACTGACTGAAACGGCTGCCTGCTGCGTGCTTGAATGACGGCCATGATGGGGATCCGGTGGGGTATGCGGTCAATGACGGGATGTCATGACACGGCGAAGGTGGGGGACAAGTCGCTCACCGCTAAGGAGGGAGGCTTGTCGCGCACGATGAAGTCAAGCTTCTCGGACCTGTGCATCAAGTATGACGACATCCGTAACGTGGACAGGATGGCAGCTGTACAGGCAAGTCAATTCATGGTAGACACTCGTTTGTCCCCGCCGCGGCGTCACCTCGGGGATAGAGGTAGGTTTCTCTGGCTGGGCCCCTGGGTAGAGTCAGGGACAACGGGGATACCAATGTTTGGGTCCAAGGTGCTTCGATGGAGGTACATCAAAGTCCGTCAAGTTAGAAGAGGCCTATTACAAATGAGTGCGTGAACACCTGCGAAGTTGGTCTCCTCGCACTAGAGCAGCTTCGTTCGCCAATGCGACGTCAGTGTCGCATATTCAGCATCGACTTGTTCTCGAAAATCGGCCTATCCCTGTTGTGGCAGCTTCACAGCCAGATGCGGCAAAGATGCCCAGGGTTTGCCTTGTTTGTTGTTTGTGCGTCTACCGTACGTGTACAAACTAGTCGACGGTCCTAATTGCATGTGTTTTCGCCGACATCGAGCAGGCAAGCGTCATTTGTGACTACAGCTGCACCACCAGATGCGAGATCAAACGGCTGCTGTACCATGTGTGCACGACAAGAAACCTGCAGCCAATTGGCACTCAACGTTAATTTAGCTGCGAGTTGACCGGGGTTGCAGTCCTACGGTATGGCATGGTGTTGTTCGATAATGTTTCGTGGGATCGTTTTGTCTTGGAAATTCCGGCTGCTGCGCTGCGCAGGACAAAGTGGACGTTGTGAAGGTGACCATGCAGGACAACATCCAGCAGATGCTTGCCAACGAGGAGCGGCTAGACCAGATCAGCGAAAACGCTGAGAACCTGAACGAACAGGTCAGTCCGGAACTCGGCTACGTTGGCCCACGAGGCATGTATTATTGCTTCGATGTTCAGGGAAAAGAGGGGAAAGGGCTCTCTCCCCACCCCGCGCCTGCCCCCCCCCCAAAAAAAATGTCCGAACAGCATATGTGTTTTTCTGGGTCTGGCTTCCCTGGGGAATCGATTTACACAAGGCTCACATTCCTCCCCTAAGGCCACCCACAGAATGTAGCACGCCTCGTATCTTCTAGCCGTGGTAGACCGCTCAAGACATGCTGTACTAACTGGGAGCGAGTGTTTCGTGAGGTTCGCGTCGTGGCAGGCGGTTGGCGTGTCCACCGAGTGCCGTTTCGTCTTGCGCTTTTGCTTTCGGAATGTCGTATTATTGTACACCTGAAAGGTACAAATAGTTCTCGATCATATGACACGCGCCCTAAGTAGTTGGCACAACTAGCAGCGTCGAACCACGTGTTCTTTATCTTGGAAGTACCGTTGTTGCTGCGCTTGACAAGGTACCGTTTTTTTCACGCAAAACAGCCCCACTCTGTGCTGCCGGCTCTTGCATGTAGCCGCATCCAGCACGAAGGATCAACCTATCATCCGTGCTGCGTCCTTGTACTGGCAGGCAAAGGTGTTCCAAAACCGCTCCTCCGCGCTCCGGAGGCAGATGAGGTGCAAGGCGATCAAGGTAATACTCTTTAGTAGTCGTCCTTGTTGCTGCTGCTGAATTTTCTGAAACCGTTATTCCTCCTTCGTTGCTGAGGATGAAGCATTGATTCGGCAGCAGAGTTATTTTATCCCGTAGCTTCGTACGCGTTGTCTTCTGATTCGCCGTACACCAGGATTCGGCTGATTTCGAATCTATGGGCAGATTTGGCTCGGTGGGGATTTTGCCATGCTGACTCGAACGAAACAAGTCCCGTAGCAAATGTTGATCTCGCTCTGCGACTCTTAGCAAACCTGATCTCGCTCTCAACTCGTCGTGTATTGTTGTCGGTATTATCTGCACCATCAGATGTGGTTCTTGCTGGCCTTGGTGGTGATCATCCTGCTCATCATCATCATCGTGCCAATCGCACTGCACGCCAAGAACAACAGCGACTAGGGGCCAAAGTGGTGTGCACGGGGCATGCATGTGGTGCACTCACTGCATGGCGCCCGTTTCTCCAATATATCTCGCCGGCGATAAACCTGAAGCCCCGTCTTCTAGGCGGAGCGTAACATCCAGTGAAGCATGTTGGTATTTTCTGAGCGTCTAGCACCTCCCGTGATCGATTTCAAGTACCCAGAGAAAAGCGAAGGTTGCAGGACTGCTGCCGTGCATACTTTGCCACGGGAATAAAGGACGCAGTGTCTTTGGCAGCTGGCTTGGTTGAGTAAATGCGAAAGGGCATGGCGCTCTAATTGCCCGGTCTCCGTTCCGTTTTGCTGGTTTGGACGAGGAAAGAAGTGTGCGCAGAGCGGAACAAGTGGGGCCTAACGTCGTAGGAGATGTGGGCGGTTGGTTCACTGCAAAGCTTTTAGGCGTCTCCCGGCGAACAGGCGTTCAGCGCGCCGTGTTGCTTTAGTACCTTCGTGTTACTCCCGTGTAGAACGCAGCATCCATGCGCTCTCGGTTGGGCGCAGCCGATAATGATGTGTGCTGGCTACTTGCATTCAGCCGAGTGATGTGTTGGCCGGCGACGCCGATGCGATGTGGCGTGGCGCCAGCTAGTTGCACTGCTGTAGCGTGTGAATCCTGATTCCAGCAGTCCGTGACCGGTATATTCTTCCTTGTTTTTTTCGCCTTTGCCTTATGTGAGTGATAGTATCACCACATCGAGTAGAGCGAGGCACGATGTCTCCTCATGAGGACAGGAAGTATCAACACGGGGAGGGGCGCGAGGAGGTCATTGCTTGAAGTTCAACTCTCTGCGTGTGTTTTATAAGAGGGGAAGGATGCTGATGTTTGGCGTGCTCATGGAGAACTAATGGACCAGTGCGCATGTCAACTTATATGTATTTTTTTAATGCAAGGCGACTTCTTGGTGTGGGTTTCGATGTCAAGAATGATATGCCTAGAAACGTCGACTCTTTTGTCTGGTCGAAAACCGAAATGTCCAATCTCTGTGCCGCTTGACTAACCCTGGTCAAGTGTGAGACTTGCGAGCTTACATAGGGAGCCAAATAATGAAGGAAGTCGAGCGCCTTCTTGAGCACAAGAGCACCTGTCGAAATTGGCCAATCACAAAACTGCGGGGATGCTGTTGTTGCGCATGTCGAGACTCCGCAAGAGATATTAACACTTGTAGAACAATTGCATTGCTTTCAAAAAAAGCAGTGCAGTGCATTGTTTGTCGACCAGGAGGCGGAGGGAGAAGGGGTCATGAAGGGTCCAGGAAATAGCCTCTGGGTCTGTCGGTCATGATCCTGCGAAAAGCTCGATTCCCTCCGACACATAAAACAACCTAGGTTCGCGTTTGCATTAAACAGCGTGCTCACAGCATGTACTACGGCGCACTCAAGGGAGGAAACGGGTATAGGAAATTCGACATGTTGGTGTGGAGCGGCCCTCCTGAAATGATGACGTCGTATGCATATGCATGTTCTGGTTTGGGTATCGGTTCGGAAACCAAAACATGCATACCACGTCATCATTTCAGGAAGGCCGCTCCAAACCATGTCGAATCTAAAGCCGGGTCTCCTTTGCGCAGGAAAGGCTCGCGATTTGGTTTTCATCCCGTGACACCGACGTTCCTTCACGAACAGCAAGGAAGCTGTTGTTTCGGCGCAAACTTGCTGTGGACTGGTAGCAGCTATTCACAGACGATCCCGAGTGCGTTCAGGTTTAGAACACGTTTCCTAAGACAGCGCTCATGTCCCCGTCCTCCGTAAGACTGACACCGTCATTCAACACTGCGTCCTCGTGGTGCTGGCAACCGGAGAGGTATGTAGCGCAGAGCAACATTGTAAATGCAGTTCATCTGCGATGCGTTGGAGCAAACATCCAAACCCCAAGCCCGACGTCCGAAAAAAAAAAAAAATGCCATACAAGAACGAGAGGCTATAAGAGAACTATGCTAGGCACGTCCCGCACGACGTACGACAGCCATTCGCAAGGCACACAGCAGTAGTACGTCTTACACCTAGGCAAAAGCACCTCTCGAATAACGATGGCATGCTGGGGAAACAAGTCAACGGGTGTCGCGGGCAACCTATCGCAAAGACAAGGGCACGCTTCACTTGATACGCGAAACTCTACTACACGATTGTTTTCCTGAAACGTTCGAACAGGAAGGGCGCACACAGGCAGAAGCCACTGTCCAACACGGCAGCAGGGGGCAACAACACTTTCAAGGCGACCTTACAGCGAGCGCTACCCTTCCCAGGATTCCTACAATAGCATCCTAGTACACATAAACGTGTGGTATTGGTCCTAGCTCAGTCTTCTATCTCGCCGTCGGCCGCATCCTCCCCGCCGTCAAGCCGCTTCAGCAGCGCCAGCTTCTTCCTCTTGAGGATCGCCTCCTTGATGGCATCTTGCGACGGCACCGGGACGTGTGCTCGCACTTCCGCGGATGTTGCTGCTGATGCCGCTTCGGCCGCTTGCCCCTGCAGAAAAACGTAGCAGAAAGTAAAACGCGGTCGATGTGAATCATCGCGGCATGTGCTCTGGACACGGCACCCGGAACAAAACATGCAGCGTTGCCACGTGCCTCTCAAGAGAGAATTCGCGGGAAAAAAAACAACACTTTACGCATGTTACGCGTGGCCGTTATACGGGTAAAAACATATAGCGTTGTTTCAAGCGATTTTTTTACTCGAGATATACGCTTGTCTTGTAGCTCGAGATGCATCAGCCCTACCAATCCATCTTACACCGCCAACTTTACGGCGCCTGTAGACGGCGCAACAACGAGTCAAGATTTTCACCAACGGACTAAGCAACGCTAGTCGGCCTTGGGCGTTCATGACGCACCATTTGCGAGACGACACCAGGGATCTGGGGGGGCAGTATTGGGGCATTTCTCGCGAGTATTTGGACAACAATACTCATTGTCCGGGATGACAGGAACAATATTGTGACATGAAAAATTGTGGATAAATCCGATAACGGTATGCTCACCAGCAGCGAGAAATTTGGTGGTGACACCGTACTTCCCTAGCAAACGTTGTTAACACACGCTGTTCAGGTGTGGGGACCTAGGGGATTTGACGATGAAATAGGCTTGCAGCAATTGGGCCGCCTTCTCGAAAGAACGAAACAATTCTTATCGCGATGCGAAGCACAGATACACTTGCATCGCATTCACACGGGCGCTTAACCCCGCAACCCCGATCTCCAACAAGGCCCTTCACGTTTGACCGACAGCCGTCCTTCTCTCATGTTCGAGAAGGCTACTCTTGGTGCGGGTGGATCAGCGACACCTGCATTGTGGTGCCACATTTTCGGCCGCTTTATCCAGCCGAGGCGATCACCGTTGAACCGTTGCAGAACAGCGCTACGACCCCACCGAAGCAGGTGGTTGAGCGAGGGGAGCATATGCCTTGAGTGTCACGGAGCAACGCGCAGTGCTCCCGCGCGCAGGGAGTGTGGTCCGAAGTAGACAGAGTCAAAGCTGATGTTACCCGCGGCGCCGCCCAGAGATGCGTTCCCCAGCCCGGCAGTGGCAGTGCCGTGACACCGGCAACGCTGCTGCCGGGCTTGGGCACACAACTATCGCCGGCCTCGCGCATAACATCAGCGTGGACTCTTGTCTCCTTCGGACCACACTGCCTGTACATTGGCGTGTTGCCCCGTATCGCCCATTCTCAATCGGCATTTGTTCTCCCACACAACCCCGTCCTACACCTCGGAGGTGTCGCGTTGTGCATCGGGGTTCCTGGGAATCAGGACAACGATTATGACCTCGGGTGGATGTACGGCGGCCTAGAATGTGGCACCACAGTTAGGGGTGTCAAAGCGGCGGAATTTGGGGCCAAAAAAACGTCCGGTCCATTCGGCAAAATTTGAGTGGAGCATGCGGCGTTGGTTCTTTTTTTGGTTCTTGAGAATCCCACTGTTTATGCTGAATAAACTATACATCAAGTCAATTTTTTTGTACAGGCAGCTCTGCGTCCAGACAGCAGTATGGCTCTTCATGCGTTACACACACCTGGACACGGGTCCAATAGAGGTGACTGTAAGGTCGGTTTTCTCTTGAAGTTAAAGGGCGGACGAACAACACCAAAAAACATGTGTTTTTGGGCTCTTTGCTCCACATCCAAGGCGACCTTTGCTCCTCTCGTGAAAGCGACCTTACAGCCCTCTGCCTTGGGTTTACAGCTATACCACACAACAAACCGCATCCGAATCGCATCAGCCAACCACGAGATCTACATGTCTAAAAACAGCCCCTTCAGTGGGGCTGCAGCGCCCACACCAGCAGACCCTCCCAAAAAAAAATCGAGATCCGCGCCGTTCGGCAGCAGGAGGCGCGCTGCGCGAAAGCTGAATCAAAACAAAACTAAGTTTGAAGAGAGGACGGGAATGTCTGTGGCTGAGGCATCAGCAGCAGACAACACCCGGCGCGCTATCGAGCGCGGCAGCATCACCGCCGCGCAGAAAGCGCTGGAAAGAACGAAGGAGGAGCTGGCCGAAAGTAGGAAAAGTGAGGAAGAGAGCAAAGCTGGTTGCAGCATGGCTCTGGAGTTTGCGCGCGAGGACGACGAGGAGCTCAAGTCGGAGCGGGCACGGAGACAGCAGGCCGAGCAGGAGAAACAGCAGGCCGAGCGGGAGAAACAAGCCATTGGGCGAGAGAAGGAGTCGGCGGTGGCGGGACAGCGCCAGGCGGAAGAGAGAACCCGTTGAATAATCAGAGCACACACACTAGCGGCGCCCTCGCGCGTGTGCGTCAGAGGGTCTTTTCGGGAGATTCCGACGGTTCCGTGTGATTTCATTTGTCGGTCGATTTTCCATCAGCATGATCCGAGGACGCTTTTTCAATTGTTTTCCTATAGGAATTTTTCCAACGGCGTGTTCGGTAAGGTAACGGTACGCTCGGTACCGGTATGAACATGGTACCGAACGTACCGAACATCTNGACGACGAGGAGCTCAAGTCGGAGCGGGCACGGAGACAGCAGGCCGAGCAGGAGAAACAGCAGGCCGAGCGGGAGAAACAAGCCATTGGGCGAGAGAAGGAGTCGGCGGTGGCGGGACAGCGCCAGGCGGAAGAGAGAACCCGTTGAATAATCAGAGCACACACACTAGCGGCGCCCTCGCGCGTGTGCGTCAGAGGGTCTTTTCGGGAGATTCCGACGGTTCCGTGTGATTTCATTTGTCGGTCGATTTTCCATCAGCATGATCCGAGGACGCTTTTTCAATTGTTTTCCTATAGGAATTTTTCCAACGGCGTGTTCGGTAAGGTAACGGTACGCTCGGTACCGGTATGAACATGGTACCGAACGTACCGAACATCTCGGTATCGGTATGGACATCGTACCGAACGTACCTAACATCTCGGTACCGGTATGGACATCGTACCGAACGTACCGAGCATCTTGGTATCGGTACGGAGTGTCATACCGGCACCGCCGGTATCGGTACGGACATCGTACCGAACATACCGAGCATCTCGGTACCGGCATGGACATCGTACCGAACGTACCGAGAATCTCGGTACCGGTATGGACATCGTACCGAACGTACCGAACATCTCGGTACCGGTATGGGCATCGTACCGGTACCGTACCGGTGATACCGGCGGTATTTGTACCGAGCATCGCTCTACAGCAGTATCCATTGCTATTGCCCATGAAGAATGTNGTTTAGATTGTGCGGAGGCCGATACCCCTGCGGCACCACAAAGTCTTCGAGAGCTTTGAGTGTCTCCCCCGGCACTACGTACTCTATGTCGTTCATGAAGACAGAAGCAGGCGCTTTCACTGGCACACTGCTGCCGCCTCCACCACCGTCCACGACAACCTCTGCCTCCGGAGGTGCTGGCGCCGGCGTTGGCGATGATGAGCTTTGGTCGCCAGCGGCGGGGTCATCGTTGTTGTTGCTGGGGGGGGGTGGCGTGGTGCTAACGAGGGCGTCTGGTAGTGGTACGCCACCAGCTGTACCGAGTACCGAAGAAGAGGGTACACTGCTGCTGGTACTGTGTGTGTGTGTGTGCGCGGTCTCGGGTGAATGCCAGCCTAACTTCCCGATNAACGAGGGCGTCTGGTAGTGGTACGCCACCAGCTGTACCGAGTACCGAAGAAGAGGGTACACTGCTGCTGGTACTGTGTGTGTGTGTGTGCGCGGTCTCGGGTGAATGCCAGCCTAACTTCCCGATTAGCCCGGTACCGGTACGCTCGGTACCGGTATGAACATGGTACCGAACGTACCGAACATCTCGGTACCGGTATGGACATCGTACCGAACGTACCGAACATCTCGGTACCGGTATGGACATCGTACCGAACGTACCGAGCATCTTGGTATCGGTACGGAGTGTCATACCGGCACCGCCGGTATCGGTACGGACATCGTACCGAACATACCGAGCATCTCGGTACCGGTATGGACATCGTACCGAACGTACCGAGCGTGTCGGTATCGGTATGGGCATCGTACCGAACGTACCGAACCTCCTCGGTACAGGTATACCGGAGGTATTCTACCGCCGGTACGCCTCGGTAGTACCTTACCGAACACGCCCTTGAAATTTTCCGCTATGAGACCCCTAACAGTGCAGGCGTCGCTGATCCATCAGACACGCATTCGGACATCAGACAAGAACGACCGTTGGTCAAATGCGAATTGCCGTACCGAAGATCGGTCTTGGGTGGTGGGGCGCCCGTGTGAAATCGATTAACCCCTTTGGGTATACCTCTTTTTTTTTTGCGGCAAAAAAAAAAGGGAGGAGAGAGTGCGGGGAGATACAGAAGTACAGCAGAGAGAAGGCGAGTGTACTTCTGTAGACGCAACAGCTATCTCCACCCATAGGCCATGAGGGCTGCCCGCGACAGGACGGTGGACACAGACAGGATCATAGAAGGGTTGATGCGTGGTCGCGGTGCGGCCAGTAGCGCAGTGTAGGCTTGTAGACCTCGAAAAGATCAGTCGTCAAGCCGTCTGAACTACTCTATTTTCAGTATATTCAAATGATCAGTGAAAATGATCAGTGAGAGGGCTGGTAGACCCATAGCTGGTTCTTGTACTTCTGTACTTCTCTGTCCCCTCCCCAATGTGGGCCCTGCCGGCTCACTACAGCTCCTGCGATTTTCCTACAATTCCCACTCCAGCATTTACAAATGATCAATCAATGGTCTGTCAGGACGCCTGTAGACCCAAAAGGGTTAATGGTGGGAGTCTCTGTGTGGCTGCGCTTGGTGTCTTGCTTTGTTTTGTTTCTTTTTCCAAAAAGAAGAGGCGATTTTTGTCTCATCTGGTCATCTGAGTGTTCTTCAACGCAAGAATATGTACAATCGTCCCACGTCCGCGGTTGTGGATACACCAATGGCGCCGAACATGGGCTGCGGTGCCTGTGAGGGTGTAACGGCTCTGTCGCTGTCCATATCTACCTCATGGAAATCTGCGCAGCCGCCAGCGGTGCTGGGAGGGTGTGCCAAACACAGCCAAGAAGACCTATCGGCGGGTACATCTTGAAAATAGACTGGAAGTAAGCTAGCCCCCCCCCCCCAAAGCCATGTTGGGGAAAAACAGCCCAATTGCAGAAGCCTACGCATCGAAGCTGGACGGTGGCACGGGAGAGCAACAAGGCACACGCATGGCGAAAGCTCAAGCACTTTGGTACTCAGCCAACCACGACTAAAGCTCTTCTCTCGACACGCAAGAATCACGATGAACGCATGTGCGTTTCTTGGGCGTTTGACCCTCAAGCTGGTTACGGGAAAGAGGACCCCTGCTGTGTCACAACCAGACGCAATGGCGGCAATGGCGGATGTTCAACACGCACCTGGACGTCTTGTACGTCCTCGTCGTCAGCGTCTCCCCCCACTTCCTCCTCCCCGTCCTCCAAGCGGCGTCGCTTCTCCGCCTGCCACTCCGACACCGCTGACTGCACCTTCCTCTTTTCCATCACCGCCTCCTTCGCTACGAGAACACCGTCCTCCTCGTCCCTGAATGAATCAATTGCACAAAATACACGCGAATTGTTGGGATATACATATGGCAGGCGAGACGAGACATTGGTTCAATCACGGCCATGATACATTGGGCAGAAACCACCAACGAACTCCACATGTGAAATCCAATACCCTCCGCTTGAGTGTTTTCTGCCCCTCAACAAATGAGGCGCGAGCCAGTCCGTCACACAACGCAACCGCCCCCACTTGACGGGAATCGCCTTTGTACTTGTGCGAGTCACTGTTGCAGTATTGTAATAACTGCGAGGTGGAGGACCCGCGCATAGCTGTAATTAGTGACTGAAGACACGAGATGAGAGTGCTGGTAGATAACTGATGTGACAGGTCGTGGACATCAGAGCATTCATGACCGTGTACTCTGGAAGGGTTAGCCAGCGTGCTGTACCTATTGCTGTTTTGTTTTCACAACTACCGCGCAGCGCTTCAGCCGTTGTAGACTCTACATTAGCACTTAGCACATGATGTCATGATACTGGGCATCTTCCAAAATCTGCGAAGTAATCTACTCGTGTACGAAGTTGCCATAGCCGAAGGCACGCTCGGAGGTAAAACCGCATGGCATCAACGCAAACCTCCCGCCAGGGACAAGGTTCAACAGAGCGATCGATGCACCATAGCAATACTGCAAGTATGTTGCCAGCAAGAAGGGACTGCAGACCCACGTCGCTGGCTTGCTCACCTGTAGCCGTAGTAGTCTGGAGTAATGAACTGGTACATATCTTTCCGTGTCCTCCTGGGGTTCTCCACGTCTGACTTGTGGAACAGCTCGCGGACTCCGGGCAACCCCTTTGCCGCGCCAAAGTACATGTAACCTCCCCCTCCTGGCAGCTCCCGCCCGTCTGCGTCGTACGATTTGGGGGCGTTGGCGGCGTAGTCAGGGCCGCCAAGCTCCAGTATTCTCTTGTCCCAGTGCTTTCGCTCTCGCAAGAGCTTGTTGATCTGGTCATTGAGGTCGCGGATCTTGTGTTCGCCCGCCCCGGCGTTCTGGATCAGGTGGACGCTCTTGGAAGTCTCGCGGATGATGTCTCTTCGCCAGAGCTCGGCATCCTGGAGGTTGTCGCACTCGGACGAGAGGAACGGCCTTCTGCCACGTTCCGGTTTTGCCATCTGCTCCTTCATGGTGGTCCACTTGTTCATCATCATCTGCGCTTTCTCCTCGTTACGCGCCATGGTGGCAGCCGGGTGTGTCCTTCACAAGAGGACACAGCACAGACAGCCAGCAGCGGATGAGTTGCGGCGAGGCGCCCTGGTTGGTGACTTTTTCTTCAGAGACCTCTCACGTTCCCGTGCAGAACAGCGCGATTAGTTGGACGAACACACGAAATGCTGATGGATCAGCCTGTCGAGCTTTGTTGCTTACTGCCACGGTGCTTGGTGGGTGGAGTAAGGTGGTCGGCCTCTGGCCCCTGCCCCCTGCTTGTGGGTTGCTGCACACGCAGTTGGCTTGTGAAGCGGGGTACATCGGCGTGGCGAACCGCGTATCCCCCAGATGGTTACAGCGCGGTCCAAGATACAATACTAGATACTCATAGAAAGCGAGCGATGCTGCATCCGGCCCCGGCAACTGGGCCGGTGTTTCCACCCACAAAAGCACTCATCAGCCTTTTCGACCTTCCTTGTGCGCTGTCGCTGCCATGATCATGTGATTGTACTGTAGTACCTTTGAAAACACAAAAACGGCTGACAAAGCGGTGGAACTATCTTTCGTGATGCGGCGCATCCGTTCCGCCGCGTTCCGCGTGACTCGCGGGAGCAAGATGTCTTGTTGTCTTGTGGGACAGGGTGTGGCGTGTGTTGTGCGTGCTTCGAAGACCAACGCCGACATTCAGGAGTATCGTGAGGCTGTACAAAGGCCCACAGCAGTGTAGTCCACAATAGTCTACACCTTCGTGCGAATTATTGCACGGAACAACAACGAGGGATGAGCAGTCCAGGCAAACCGGCGGTAGCAGTGGTGGTGCCTTCAGCACATGCCGCCCTTCGGACGGTGCACCATGGCGGTGGCGGGAAAAAAACGGCGTTCTCACGAGAATACATGCTGCAGCACCCAGAGTGGCTGCTGGAGAAGGAGGAAGAAGTGGATTGGGCCAAGAGTCGAGGAACCGTCCTGGATGCTTCGTACAAGACGCTTCCCACAGTTGCCCCGCTTAAGGCGATGCCTACATTCACACACCTGACTGTCCTCTGCCTTCGAGAGAGCGGTGTGATTGACATTGAGCTCTTAGAGATGTGCAACCGCCTTGTTCACCTGGATTTATCCTCAAACGAGGTCTTCCATCTGGTTGGTGGTGATTTCTGGGCTTCTTTTCCGGACCTGTTGGTTTTATTGCTACATGGAAACAAGGTAATCGTCTCTCTGGCTGGTTTTATGTTTTCACGGGTCCCCAGTTCGGAACGCAATGGCTGTGGGTTAGGTAGATAATTACGAGCGACGGTGTGGGGATGAAAAAGTCCAAATACTGTCTAGTCTCCACGAATTTTAGCAACCAGGCAGAACTGCCGTTGTATCAAATTGTTCGTCAGGGGATATTAACTTGCCTCCCTTCTTACTCTGCTCTGCAAGGAGCATCACATCGTCGTAGCGGGGTGGCTTGAGCGTGTCAGCTCAAGACCAGCGCCTCCTGGTTTACGTGGATGTACACCACTTGTATGAATATTTCGACAAGACGACCATCAGCGGAAAAACCGTAGTGCATGGTACTTTTCTGTCACGGGAAGGTTAACTTCTGTGAAGAAGGAATGGGTGTGGGTCCCAACAGAGTTGCAACTGCACGTTCTGTTTTCCTATTTCGAAAGAACTCTCACAACAGTTCAGATTTTGAAGCGATCTTTACCCGAGGATTACGCAGGTCACACCTTGTTGGATCTTCAGTGCACCTATCGTGATGATTCCCCTTTATGAAGTCCGCCCTCCGCCTTTTCTGCCCTCAGGTGGCGGAGTGGCGAGCTGTTGGTGGGCTTGGAAAGGCACCAAAGCTCACATACTTGACGCTGTTCTTCAATCCCGTCTGCAAGAGAAAGATGTACCGCCCGTTCACCACGAATTGCTGCGAGTCCCTGCGCGGCCTGGATCTCCACGCCGTTTCAGACGAAGAGGTCATCGAGGGGTCTGAATTTTTGAGAGCGGGTCGTTATAGCACATGCTCGATTGCGCTTGCCCTCCCGCAACCTCTGTTCAAGGGGCTCACGGAAACGACCTTCGCGCCAACCCAGCAGGATGAACAAAACAGCAGGCGTTACCTCCCATCACCCCAGCCAACCACTGCGGTTTTCGTTGAGGGGGATGGCCACATGCCCCTACGAAGTGCTCCAAATCGCGATGATTCGATCTTGGCGAGTGTAATGCGTCGCGTCCAGCTATTGCGTAGGTTTCACGCTCGGAACAGCCCCGTCATCATAGGCCAGCGTCAGGTTCGACGTTTCCTTGGAGAAAGGTTCGGCGTTGCGGCTGCCGTGAAGATTCAAGCGCGCGTTCGTAGATGGATGGTGGAGAGGAGAGCGGTCGCTGCGCTGAAGAACATATTGAGGGAGACCGGCGAACTGTACCTTGTGCAGGTGCGCGCGGTCCGACCATGCAGCTTAGCTTAGCATACCTTTCGTGGCACTGGCACATACTTTTTGTGCCATGTGATATAACTCGAACTTCAGCTGAGTTTCACCGGGTTTGATGTAAATGAAAGTCCATTCGCTCTCTCGGACACTGGCTTTCTCTCGGTGGGCCTGCCCTCGTACCTAGAACTACCGGAAGGCCTGCTTCTATATCGTTCCGGGGGTGGTATTCCCAATCAGCAGGTAATGCAGATAAACGCATGGACTTGACACAGCGAACCTTTGCCGACAACACTTACTGCCGATCGTTTGGCAGGAAATGATGACACCAACACAGCTGCGCAGTCTCGCGTGGTTCCAGCGACGGATCGCGGGTCACTTCCGCTTGAAGGCTCTTGTCACATGCGTCAAAACAATCGAGCGTTTCGTGGGAACAGTGTGGACAAAATTTTCCACCTTCGTTGACAGCCTGGAGCATGCCGAAGTTGGAGGGGTCGTCGTGGCGCACAATCAATCTGGGGAGCTTGCGGCAGCTGTTGCAAAAGCCTTGATGGTTACGACCCCCGGGTTGTCCTGGATAGAAGCCAGCGAACGCACGGCAACGATGGTTACCACAGTATCTGACTGCAGGCTTCTTCGACCGTTTTCTTTCGTTGAAATGCCGGACTGGCCCGTCTTGGATAAAGACGTGGACACGGACGGCGTGTTTGTTTCTCGATCGGCAGCTTGCTCCGGCACCCGCGCCAAGCTTCCCGGAGTTGGTCCTTCCATGCGCGAGGCGAGCGATACTCCCCCCCGGACGCAGGGGCTTCGAGAGACGCGGGCCCACTCACGCGTGCGAACTAGGTTTGGAGTATTTGGCAGCCCTAGAATCCAGGAGTGCAAGGTGTCACGAAGAAATTGCGCTGTCCGGAAATTCTGTCAAGGGTCCGCAGCGGCGAAGCGACGCACCACAATGAACGCCAGGCGTGACGTGAACAAGCAGCTTTGGGCTTTCCGGCCACACGCGGTTCGCTTGCTGGCCCGCGTGTTGTGCACCCTGCGCGACGAATCCATGGGCAAGCCGCCAGTACCGTTCATCCTGGAGCGGCAGCTATTCAGGTGTGCGTCGGCTACGCGAATCCAGGCGGCGTGGCGGGGCCATGTTTTGCGATGGACTCTGTCAGATACGTTGGCCTCGTGCGTAATCGTTTCTCGAGCAGGAGCCTGCATCCAGCGTTGGTGGCGGTACCAGACAGGACTCGCCCTTCGCCTGCGGCTATGCCGGCGTCTTTGGGCTCTCGCAACGGCCGTGTCGAGCCCTACCTTGTATGTCGAACTTGATGTGTTCTACACCTTGATTCGTGGTTGGAAGTGGGATGGTGAGGAAGATGGCGTTGCCTTCACCTTTCAGAGCGGGAACAAGGTGGCTGTCATGTCAAGCTTTAGCGATCCGCCATCTCGTGCCCTCGGTTCGAAACGGGCGAACGATCGTGCCGGGCACGGGAAAAGAAGAGGGTTCGTGGTAAGCCACAGTGCTGCAAGGGATACTGAAAGACATACGCGAGAACTGCCCATGTGGACGCTGAAAAGCGTCGTTCGACAAGTTTTACCGTCCAAGATCCGTCAAGGAGCCGTATTCACCCAGGCGGGAGCATTACTCACCGTCGATGTCAAGGCGAAAAAAGTTATTTGGCCCTTAGCGCCTGCAACCGCGGACACGTCAGAACCAGCCGAGCGCGGCGATGTCGGAGGTATCACAACTTCTTCTGCCCTTGGCCAGTCCAACGGTACTCGTGAAACCACGTCTGAGTCTTCCAGCACGGGTATTTGTCTGACGAGTGCACGAAGTGAAGAGGTCGGTAGCCAAACGCATCCTACGAGGGCGGTGCCACAGCGTGAAGACTCCGCGGAAGCCGGCCCTCCAATCAGCATGCGAACGAAAAACGGAGACGACGAGGAGCTATTGGAATTGACATTTTCGAGTATACAAGAAGCAAGGGCACGAGCTGTGTTGCTCGCCCTCGCGACTGAGGAACCCGGCGTTGTACCGAATCGAGCTGTTGCGCAACTGATGACATTGGGCATGCTGCGCCGGGCAGCTGCTGGCGAGCAAGGCCAGGCTCTACCTATCCTGAAAACTCCCGCGCAAGGTTTTCGACGAGGGGATGCTGTGGAAGTGTCGCTATTTAGACTGTCCGAGGGGCGAGGGGGTGCCTGGTTCCCTGCGGTAGTTGATCGAAGAAACGGCTATAGTACCACATATAAGGTGAGGTTTGTGCTGCGGGAGATGTGCACGGACGGAAGGATGATCCTGTGTTTTGGGCCGTTTATTTGGTGTTTCTACGTGTGCTTGGTCGTTTTTACTTTGCTGGAAGTCCGGGATGCACTCGTAGTCACACCAGATACAGCAGAAACACGTTTGGAAGTATTATTTCGATGAGGACGTTTGATTTCCTGTTTTTGCATCTACGCTCTCCCACGTAGTATAATTGTCGATCAACCCGGCTTTCTACGATTCTCTTGGAAGGTCACCCTGGAGACCGGTTATGTGGAGCACCACGTCCCAGAGGGAAGCATGCGCCCCCGTGACTGCACGGGAGTGGAACCCGCGCTCGTGGAAATGAGCCACATCCCCTCTCGGTGGCAACGGAACGCGCGGTCCCTCCTCACGCCTGCTGACCGCCTAGAGTTGGAGCTTTTGCGCCGGTCGCTACCTACCACAACAATGACCAAACCCTCGGTGGGAGAACGACCATTAGAGCTCCTGAGCGCCAACCCTCGGAGAGAAGCGGACGCGTGCGTGGCCGCCGAGGAGCTGCGGCGCTTCAACGGGTTGGGCGGTAGGGGGCTCGTCCTAGGTGATCCTGGACCGATTTCACCGGGTAGCCCTGTCGGGCGTGCTGGCCCCCGAGCCATGGGTCCGTCTCCTCCAAGGTGGGCAGGCTCCCAGACCATGGCGGCAGCAAGAACGGCGGGTGGTTTGACGGCACGAGCTCTGGAGAAAGTAGCCAGAGCGGCCGTGGCCGCCGATGCAGCGGCCACCACCAGCACCTGGGTGCCCGGGAACCGATTCAGGGTAGGTCTTGAGAAACTGGTACAGATGGCGGCCCACGAGGCCCAGGATGCAGCGAAGGAGGTAGAGCTCAGCGCCAGACGAGATACAGTCTCGAGGGCGAGACAGACAGAGCGCATTGAACCTTCGCCGCGAGACTGGGTAGAGAAGTTTAAGGCGGCCGAGGTCGCGATATTTCGTCGTGAAGCCGATGAAATTAATCGAAGAGCTGCCCTGGAAAGAGCGTTTTATGGCCACGAGTTGAAGGTCAACGCTGCGGAGGCAAGGGAGTTAATGCGGGACGGTAAAAGGCTTACGGCTGAATCTGTGAAAGCTGATCTCGAAAACCAAAAGTGTATCATGAAGAAGCGAGAGAGCGACGTGGAGGAAGAACGCCAACGAAATCTCGAGAAACGGAACGCCGACATCGATTCTGCGAAGGCGCGAGTGGCACAGCGGCGGAAGGATCGTACAAAGCAGGAGTTACGCCGTGCGGAAAGCAACACGTTCACGGCCAACGCCTCTCAGCTTGCAAGGCACATATGCAAGCACGCGGCAGTATCATACAGAGCGCAGAACACGAGGAGGATGCGGCGGTGGGCGCAGGGCAACAAAAATCACGAGGAAAATGGGCGGCGGAGGATGCTGAGGCGTGTTCAAGAGCTTCAGGAACAGAAAAGGTAAGATAGGCATAGAAACTTGAGGCGTCGTTGGCAACCATTTTACTGGTTGTGGGGTTTCCGTGGATGGAAGGCGTACAGTTTTGGTGCGTTGAACGCGTACAAACTGTGAGGGGTCGTCGCACGAAGCGTTCATTAGGGCAGGTCAGACCCACACGTGTGAAGAGCGTACTTTAATCGAGAATACCACCAAGAAAGAGAACCCAAGCAACCCGCAGCCACCGCACTCTGATGAGTGCGGAGAGCCCTTCAGATGTAATACAAGGAGGCATCGACCCGGATGTGATCAAGAACTGGCCGTGCGTCTACCAACAACGCTCAACCCCCCCCGCAACATCAGGAGAGAAGGAACAATGCTGCGACGAGTCCTTGCTGCTCGCAGCAGGGCAAGAGTTGCCATGGACGAAGCCGTGGTGCGCCACCGCATCGGGCAGACCGGTTCCATGGAGGACGGTGTTCTGGCAGAGACTGTCATGCACGTATTACGGCCCGGTGGCGGGACACAGGGGACCAAGGGCGAACAGGTGGACGGCGTGATGCGCGAAGACGGCGAGCGCAGGTTGGGATCGTTTGGTACAGAGGATGGCGTCAAAGACCCGCGCAGAGTTGGAAGCTTGAGAGAACGAAGGCCGGACAACAACGTCACGATCAGCATCCCTACAGCAACACGCGGAGGCGTCTATCCCTCCAAGCCTGAGACAACCCGGCCGCCCCTTCGCGAACAAACTAGCCGACGCTTGCGCGCGAATGATACGGGTAAAACAGTGGTGGTCCTTGCCAGTGTCCCTACCGTGACGAGAGAAGCACGAGCGAGTAGTCCATTACAGGGGACAGGTGGGGCGACCTTGCTCGGCTCGACGAGCAGTCACTCGATGATATCGCCCAACAGGGACGTAGGCGCGGCGCCCAACGCAGCGTCCGACCAGGCAGCTTTACCCTGGCCATTGGGGCGCCGCTGCTGGTGATGGAAGGTATCGTATATTCTCGATGGGAATGCTTGGTTTCCTGATTGTGTTTGTTGAAACTTAGGTGGTGGCAAAACATGTTGCGGCCGTGTACGACCAGTAGACGTTTTGTGTTTTCACGGTATCCCAAATCTCGTCCTCTTGAAACAATGAACTTGCTAGACCATCAACTCCTCGAGTACTGCCCCATGCGTGCCGTTTAGTTTCATGCGCATGAAGAGCTGGTCCTCCTTCCTTGTGGATAAGTTGGTAATGTCGCAGCCATCTGACATTTGGGACGTGAGTGCAGTCACGCGAACTGGGTTCTCAAAGTGTGTCTCTCTACACAAGTGTGAAAAGCGACAAAAACGTGAGTACAAACCATTTCTAGGTCGGCGAGGGAAAGTAACGGCGGAATCCTGCAGGCGACAAAATTTGAGAAAAGCACCGAAGATCGAGACAATCTCCAGTGTGGCCTTCTTCCTATGTCACCCCGGTTGTTGCGCTCAATCAAACATCGAAAAGGTGCAAAAACCGACGTCCAGAATAAATGCGATGACGAACGATTTCAATCACATCTTTGGTATCGTTCTGGTTCGCTTGTACGGTAGGCCCACCGTATGCCGGCCATTCACAAGTGCATTAGCATCACGGCAGGTGATAGCGCCATTTCTTTCAGCTCAAGCGTAGCAAACCGTCTGTCTGAAAAGCAGGCGAAAATAATCTCATTGATGCAGGTACATATGGCGTTCTTGTCCTCACAACAAGGTGGAGTTGGCGAATGCGGCTGGTAAGAAGGAACGCAAATAGGGGGGGTCAGGAGCAGGCGGTTTCACAACAGCGTGCACAAAAATGAATCAAGATAGCCACATTACAACCTTCTTTCTCCCCACCACACAATCCCCAAGCACCACAATACAATATCATGAACTTGGCCACTGAAAAATTGCCTGGTGGGCGCCTCTCCGAGTAGTACATTAACAATCAAGTCTCATCAACCCCATCAAAATCTATAAGAAGACGGGAAAAAGGGAGCAACCTTCTTGGCGAAAAAAACGCGCTTGAGTTTGCTTTCCTTTCCTCTACATATTATGCTGAACGCCGTCATCTCCGCTCATGCCACGCACATGTTGACGCCATTTACCCCGATGAGCTTAACGTCGTACAACAAAGTCGCATTCGCCGGAACCCCTCTTTTGGGCATGCCTTGCGCGCCGTAGCCGAGCAGGGGGGGTACGCTGATAAGTCTTGTCTCTCCTACGCACATGCCGATGAGCAGAAGGTCCCAACCTGGGGGAAATTGCCCCTTGGGCTGCTTCCCGAGCACGAAGAATAGGGTCGTATCCCCTGCTCTCCCAACGACCTCTCGCCCATTCACCTGTGTAACGGTAGTGTTGTGTCGAGCGAACACAAAATTTAAGAGGAGGCAGAGAAAACGGAGTCAGCGAGAGCGACTGTGAGGGGTACCCGAAGGATTTATTCGAACAGACTTGACAGTAAGTGATAACCGCTCCATCAAGCAACAGCCCTGAGGGTGCCCCGGCCTCGTCGAAAGCATGCTTCCTTCGTTCACCCCCCCCCCGCCGCTAGAGACAGAGAGCAACGGGGAGAGAACGGAATGCACACCGATGACGATGAAAATGACGAGTGAGTACAAAAAATCGACTCACGTTCGAAATTTCCCTGTTTCCACAGTAAGAAACATATTTTTCCCGAGCCTCATTTCCTTTTTCCTCATTTGGGGTGACCCAACAGCGACTACATGCATTCGTTTTAGCATCGGATTCTTAACTGAATACCTACTCCTAAGTTGTGAAGTTCGTATTCCCTCCTCTTGTTAACCCGTTCTCGTAAGTTCTATCTTGTGTCGCCCCTCCTCCACGCGTTGTGTTTTAAAGCCCGGGACAGCAGTACTGATTTTGCAGCGCTAAGCACTGCATCATCGCCGCAGACAGGTAGGGCTGCAGAACAATGCCGCGCGCTGGTCCCCCCCCCGCCAAAGGCACCGCGCAGGCCAAGAGAGACACGCTTCTCGCCAAACCCCAAGACTTGGGGCACCGACTTACATCAACGGTTCCGCGCTCGCGGGAGCTACCCTTTTACCCACCCGCTTAAAATCTAATAGATGACCCTCTCGAGAATGTATCGCTTGATCAACAAGTCATTCGGTTTGAACAAAGGCGTAGGAAGAACGGCCCATTCTAAAACCAACCGTGACGGGAGACAAATACTACATACAAAAGAGAGTATACAACCGTTTCGCTCATTCTTGTATTGGTCTGAAATCTTCGAAGGCAGGGACTGCAGAATGTCGATGCAAGCGCGAAGCAATGCGACCGACGACCATGTGGCCTTGCAGCTTATGGCGAACGTAATCCGTTTGAATTGGCGCTCACCTTGATGCTCGACCCATCGAAAACCTTGCCATCCTCAAGCTTAGCAGTGTACTCAATCTCAAGCAGATCTCCCCTTCTTGCTCCTTGCCCACACGAGTTGCACTCTGCGCTCTTGTCACTGTTGAGCAACTTCACGACCTGCTCTTCACGCTGGACGGCAAAAAAAAGGGGGACAATACAAGACACAAACCACCGTCAAGATTTCGACGTCCGGCCCCCGCTATCTAAGCGTCTCGGAGAGAGAGCAATTGAGGCTGGACAAGGAGGGAGATATTCATCTTGGGAACGACACGATCAGAGACTATACAATATCCGGCGCCAAAGTGCGTGTACGGGTTCCAGCACCATGACCATATTTGCACCACGAAGGACACCCCTATTATTCCTCTCGTCGTTGCTTCTCACCCCATTCCCTTCAGGTGAAACCTTGGTGCTGATAGGCTCAAAGCCCCCGTTCGTCACAGCAACGCCAGTCGCCTCGTTGTCGGGGGATGGTGGTGCAGGTTTGAGCAGCTGCTGGAACTGCGGAAGGGGACACCATTTGCAACGCGTGCGTGCTTCAACAACACCTTGAATGACAATAGAACTGCCGAGAGGAAACTTGCTTACAAACAAGCAATAAATATCCTTCATTTAGTACAGGAAACACACGCCAACTCAAATACACCCAAAAGATGAAAGCAGTGCTATCCAAAGAAAAGGGTTTGTTGGCCGTGGATGATAGCCCAACGCTTTTCTCTAGGCCGCATGCACATCTCCGGCGCGCCTAGTATAGCGCGTATTGGTGCTGCGCGCCGCGGATGTGTTAGTTCTATCTACCAACAAAAATGGGCGTTTGCTTTTGTTGGTAGCAAACTGTTACTTACACGACTATTATCTCTCAACACCAAGGTGAGCGGCCGCGAGCTGGTCTTAATGATCTTCTTAGCGGCGGTGGCGCTTTGCCGTTCCAGATCGATCCCATTCGCGGAGACCATCACGAGATCAGCCTTGATCCTGCATCAAGGGAATGCAACCACGGCCAGTTGATAACTTTTGATACGGCAACCAATGCCATCACTTTTGTTCATACAACAATCACAATTGGATTGGCAACCAGATACCTTTCCAACTACCACAGTAGAACACAATGGGGCAAGGCGTGCTGCTTAAACCGCTACAGCATTCGTTCAAAATATAACAGCAAAGCCGTGCCTGCCGAACCTCAGCCGCTCTTCTTCCCCTTGACACCCCTCACCGTATTGTTTTGTCCGTAGACGCTACTCTCAACTTCAAAGCCCGAGATGCAACCCATCCGATCGTTAGAGTCGTGTGCCCCTTCTAGTTTTCCGAGCAAACTACCACTCAAAACATGGGGAAGCGCTACCACGTTTCTCACTATTCTACCACGTTCTCACGATGCAATGCATACAAGCAGACAAAAAGAGTCAATGCTTGATTCTGTCCTGGCATTTGGTACGAATCTGTGTTCGTATCCAGGAGACGGTGCGGATGCTTGGCGTGTTCCTTTCCTATTGCATAAAATGTGTGCAGATGTTCGATCTATCTTCATCTTTGCGCAGTCCCACCTGGGATGTCTCGCGGCGGCGCTTCCGGGCACTACCCTCTTCACTAGCACCCGCGAGGACCCCTTGTACTTCACCTGTGTTGTGTGCACAAGAACGCCGCCAAACCGACACAGAATTATGTTGACATGCCAAGCAACTCGTGGAGCTTCGAACGGGTTGCCCTTCGTGGTAGCCATCACTGCTGAAAAGCTGTCATCTTGCCTACCACCGGCATCGCAGTTGATTCGGTACCCGCTGTTTGGTGTTTGGTGTAATTGATGTGTTGTTGCTCTTGTTGCTGTCACTGTTACCACCGTCGTTATTGTCAACTTTGAGCTTGAGCATGATCTGGCCTCTACGTAGTACCTATACCATATCCGGTATTCATCCTGATGATAGCGAGCACGATCTGCAGAGTCACGCATCAAGGCATGACGCGACAAACCCTATCAAAAGCGAGAGTCACGGCCTCAGGTTCTACAGGCGTCGGTGACTTGGTGTACCGGCATATGCAGGGAATCCGCATGCATAAACCTGCGTGTACTCTGTCCACCTAATCTCAGTATCGTCCATGTTTTGGGTTCACGCACGCCTTTCTGCTTTTTGTGTGGCCATTCTTCCGGGTGGCAGCGCTAGTGTTTTCCTGTAGAACAACTTGCCGGTTGCTGGTGTCAGTTGGTCCGTGTCACTCACATCTTCCAGTTCGATGCCAATAGCATCATCGTCGAAAACCTCTTCGAACTCGTCGCTTTCCAGTGCTCGGGACGCATCAGGCTCCAGCAAGGTTGACACAATCCCGATGCCAAGCCCACCCAAAACTTCTGCTCGTCGAATGCATTCACGAAGACCCATCGAAAACGAGAACACGTGTGTACGTTCTGACCTCGAAAGAAACACGCGCATGTGCTGCAACACAGCACCCGAACTTTAGCTACGTAGCATACCTTGTTCAGGAGTGGAAAAAAAATTGCAGGGGGGCGCAGGCTGTCACGTGTGTGTCAGAACAAGGTGCATCGACACCGCCACAGCGTGCGACCAACACTGATTGCAATTTAGATATGACTCACGTTTTATTGCGTTTGACCTTGTTACCGCCGCAGCCACAGAGGAGTCTCGCTTCGCTAGCATCCTGGTCGTGATAGGATCGGGATCTGCCCGTTGGTGCTTGCGACTCTGGTGATGCTGCTGGAGTGGCATCATGAACATGACGTAATCGAGGAGGTGTGGTCGGGATGTTTTTATCAAGCGTTTAAGCTCACGACCATTACTTCGGCGTTTGCCGACGAGAAAACAACTTAGCATGCGGGGCAACGCTACGGCTTTTCCTTGCTTAGTGGTGCGTCCTCGGCCCCTCGGTTGATGTGCTCCAAGCGGTGTCGTGACACAGATGAATCGAGCCGATGGAACTCGTAGTACAGCACAATACCGATTTCCTGACTGTTGCGAACGAACCACGTACGCACCACAGTGTAGGTGATGAATCCATCTGAGACGTTCGACACATGCAGCAACACGGCCAGTACCCCCACCAACCCGCCGCGCCACATTTTGCACATTGTGCGTCCAGACTGGTGAGGTGTTTCGTGTGCCGTGCTCGCCGGTGCTCTATAAATGCGGGGGAATTCCGTGTATCTTCTGTCGATGGGTGCCTGGCATACGACACCAGTCGCGACCCCCCCACTCTAGACATTCTACGTTGATCTGACCAACTTACATGATCATGTGGATCCGATCGGAGTCAGCGGCGTCTATTGATTAAATGATGAGAGGGTGAAGGATCTATGGTAGGAGATTACTTATTTTAACGTATCCTTGAAGGGGAAGTGAGACGATTGTGCGGTGAGAAAATATCGCACTTCTCTTTTCTACAGCAGCAAGCAGTGAGTGGGTGAAAACCTTGAGCGAAACTTTATTATTAGCTTGGTAAAGAATATCTATCTGCAGCCAAACAGACGTATCTTACTTAAGGCATAAAAGCCAGAGCCCCGATGATGATGAAGGCTACAATATTCTACCACACGAGACAATGAATGGTGGTGGTGCTTGTTCAATGACCCTTCGCAAATACTCGCGCGCGGATGTAAAATATAGTCTAGACTCTAAAATTATCAAGGACGAAATAAAATTAATAAGTAGATAGAGAGGTTCCTCAATCTATGCATAACCGATTGATTGTGATGCTCCGCAAGTTTCGTGTCGGGGGTCACTCTCTAAAATAATGTAATTGTCGTACGAGGGTCTCCCCAAACCACCGACATTTTGGAATGTCGCTCGATGCAGAACGTCGGCGCTCACAGAACATTAACATATCCCGTACAAGAAACTGAAACAGGCAACTCAGCTCTATTCCTCTAGATATTTAGTTGTTCTCTCTCTTGTTTTCGAACAATGAACTGTTCTCATTCTACGGTACACCATTACACACCACCTCGCCCGCAAGTTGCTCGTCGTCAAGAACGCTAGGTCTGCACCTGGACTACGCAGCAGTGACTCCGGCAAAATGAATTTTTGGCACATATCTGCCTGCGAACAAGGGTCAACATTTCTGCTTCTGGATTGAGAGATTGATATGCATGGCTGGGGGCATATGACACATTACATTAATATCCGTGGCCCAGAATCATGATCGCAACCACTTAATGACCCGATGCTCGCGGTTGCCTGCCCCATGATGTCTTGCGGTTCTTGACTGAAGAGTTCCGATCCGTCGTACCACACACTGGATGCCAAGTTTTTACAGCTTTCAATATGTCTGTCTAGAGGCACAGGCCAGGGTCAAACAGGAGGAAGCCAACAAGCACTGTTTCTCCACCTTCGTTCTACAAACCACTTTCCCCCCCTCCTCTCTCTGGATTCTCTCCGTACACGCTCACACACGCAGAAAAACGCACACGGATAGCGAATGATCAAAATCACGAAGGATGCGTTTTCGTCCTGCAAGATCGCTTGAACGCCGCAAATCGCATGACGTTCCTCCACGTTTCCGTGGATGGTGCTCTCGCGCCTGAAGCTGGTGTGGCGGCCACCTGGCAAAAAATAATGAAACACCGACAGACACACGAGCTCTGCAAATATTTGGGGTGCGAGGAGAGACATGTGTGTGTCTCAAGGAGAGGTGTCTTTGGTCGTGTAGTCTGAGCGGTGTTGTCCAGCATCAAAGTGTTGACGAACACGGGATGCTACCCTAGGAGGGGAAACTGGGATAGGGCCTGCTTGGTAGGACCTAAGCCAAAACGTAGCACGCGGGCATCTATCAACGGAAGAATTGAACTCAAATACCCTTTAATGTGCTCGTGTTGTTGGTGTTGTTTCCGACATTTGTTCATTCTTACAGTGTAACCTTGTCAGCATTCCCAAACATAGTTACCAGGAAAGTTGAATCGCTACATCCGCTGTGGGGATGAACATGGAAGCACCGGTTCTATGGCATCAAATACCATGGTATTCAGCAGCAGTCTAGAACCGGCTGAGAACACCAGGCAAAGTTGATGACACCAATTGTGATTGTGTCGATCGCGAAGATGATTACTGTGTGCGGGGGTATAGCAAGCGCCAATGTGATATATCAGGGTGACAAGAGTGTGGTGCTTCGATGTGTAGGGTGCCGCTGACCTCGAACAGGCCCTGTTCGGGCGAACATCCAGTGAGCGGAGGCAGCACCAAAAGCCTGATGAGATCCAGCATCATCCTGTCGTAGACATCGTTCTCCTTCTCGAGGTTCTGCATAGAGCTCTGCAGTCCAGGCAACCGATTCGCTGCAAAACAAGCACGAGCAACAGACACGCAAGGCGTTTGTGCAACAGCGGCAGGTTCGAGGCTGTCATGAATGTCGCGCTCAGTAAACAACGAGTCCAACAATACCGTTTCTACGCACCCATCGATACGTTTAACAACTACTGCACCATGCGTCGTTCAACGCGAACATCACGCCCTTGGACGGACCTTGATGTATGACGGAGGGCTCTTGACGAGAGTAGGCGGGACGTACCTAGCACATGATGGCCCACAACCTTACTCAGATGAATAACCAACTATATTTTTCGAACATGTATTCCACTTTTGGGTTCCAGTTGTGTTTAATCTAGCCTATCGGAATACCTACACCTACGGATATCACGTCGTACGTTCATACTGTGTCATTCCAGGCTGAGATGTCGAGCTTCTCACGTTAAAGACTCAGAAGGGATTCGTGCGCCCCTTCGTTGCAAGAGTCTAAAAAAAAAACGTGTACGCCCACCGGTGAGCTCTCCTATCCGTTCATCCCCAACCTAGAAACCCGTAGTCAATACAGTGAATACACCAACAAACATCAAACAGCCACAGCAACTCCTACCCTCCATTAGCCAGACTCCTCCGGTGCTGTCCGCGATGATATCCAACCCCAAAAACTCGAAATGGTTGGGGTTGGCCTGGTGCTGCATGAACGGCGTAGCTGCGTCAACGAGAGATCCTAGAAGTTCCAGCATTTTCGGCCACAAAGCACCATACTCGCTAGGGAGGTCGCACGGGACCTACACCGGCGTGTGCGGGTACATGTTACGAGACCAAGCACGAGGGAAGACGAAAGATATCATGATGATCGAGGTACTGGAGTAACAGTCAATCGAACGAGCTGCCCAGACATATCATGAAACCCGAGCAATGAGAGGGGCAAGCAACACGAGGGCCAATGAGCTTCGGGGTGATAATAATATCCGGAAGGGACCCAGTTTCCACCGTCGGCGCTGGAGTTTGAACAGGGGGAGGGGTGGCGTCTTTGGTATGGCCGGCCCTGAAGCCCTTCGTGCTGCAATATCTTCATAAGAGGAACAAAGGAAGTTTCGTGAGGATCATATGCTTCAAAAACGATTAAAACACTGCCACCAATAAAGACACTTGAGGGAAACCTGGAGACGGCCTACCATGCTCGTCGTCTGCCAATGAAATAATCTACTGAGGGGGACACTACTACTCTGCGGGCTGACCTGCCCAGGGTGACCTTCGGTGTGCTTGTTGACAGCCAAATTGCTAATGTGCACAAACTCGTCGGCAAAAGCCGCTCTGCGTATGTCCGCAACACCGGCCCCCACTCGCACGCCGTCGCCACGGCTGTCGTTCCCTCCGAGGGAGTACGGCCGGCTGGCGGACAGGATGTACGCGGTGCGGTACAGCCACGCCGACATGTCAGCTCGCAAGAGGGCGTATGCGCGGAAGTGAAATTTTTTCCCTTGCCAAAGCATTGGTCTTGCCACGTACCGCTGATGAGCAAGGGCGTGTCGTAGCGAAGAGGCGTGGGAAGATCGGCATTGGTCATGGTATCCCATTCTGCTCATCAGAGCTACCCCGTCAAGGAGACTGAACGTACCAAGAAGCGTGCGGAAGCAGTGTCGCCATGTAGGTCTCCACCCAAAAGTTCTGCGGCAATGGAATCCTAGGTAGCATGTCTATGAACCAAAACTGTCGCGTAACAACGATTGTAACGTGCCGAGACACGCTCTCTCCGGCAAAACTTCCATCGATCGTAACGACTCCAGGTGGTTCGAAACACAAGCTCTCCGCGTTCGACCCCCTTCCGTTGTCCCTACCTGAATAACGTAGCTCTCATGTTCGCTAAGCGCTTCCGTCACCATCTTCCAGTTCCCCTTATGCAGCACCCAGATGTCAAGGCCACCGTTCCCCCCTGACGCTTTCACGCACCACCAGTCCTCCTCGCCCGCAAGTCCATTCCCGACTGCTTCCGATTCTTGTGTTGTTTCTGTTGCTGCTGATGCATCTTGGCCTAGAGCACGTTTACGGGAAAGAAATTGATCGTCGTGTGGATACCCGGTCTCACGAGAAGAGGAGGGCGGCGGAGGACTGTCTCGTGAAGGTTTTTGCTCCTTGAAACGTTGTTGTGCCCAGCGAGCGACCGCGTTTCGGCCGTTGACGACACACGACTCAAGTGTTGGCGCTGTCATGAGCCGCTGGAGTAGCACTAGGTTGGCCTTATCTTCCAAGACCTGTCGAGAAGAGGAGAGTAGAGGTGATAATCATCTGAGACAGAACTAAGAAGTAACACGGTGATTTGCTCTTAAGCGAAGTTCAACCTCCAACGTGTGCCGGAACCTGCATGTAGTAGGACTACATACGTGGCTTGTCAACCGCGCTTTGCTGTTGGACGCTTCAGTACCAAGCTCAAAGTCTGGACCTGGCTACCAACAGTTTTCCTTCAATCCAACATCTCCGGGTATTGGAACCGGCTCATGTGCATCGAGGAAAGCAAGATATTTTTTTTGCGGACAGAAAATCACGTCCAGGTTGCAGTTTGCGACACGTAGAAATCAAAGTCAGGGTGCTACTGCTGTACTTTTACATCACGGTACTGCTGTGGTACAGCAGTAGTGCACACCTGCGCGCCACTGAGGCGGTTCAGCACTCTCGCATCCCGATGCCGCCGTTGCTGTTGCTTCGTCACGGTTGTTTCCCACACAAAATCAATGCGGGCATCATCATCGCTGCTATCGAAAGATCGCGACCAAATCGTTGGCCGTTGGTTCCTAATGCCTTGGCCGAGGAGAAGCGGCTCCAAGCGGGCCACTGACGAGGCCCCCGTTACGCGGAAGGTCAACGTTGGTTGGTTGGGCGGGAAGTTACGATCTTCGAGCGTCTCCGTCATCATGGAACTTACCCGTCGATGCGAGGCGTTGGTATTCGATGGAACAGATATCGATAAGCATGATGGAAGCGCGGCACAACAATCCTCTGGCAGTGTCGTAGGCATGCCTTTGGTCGAATCGTGCGCGTCTTCCTGCAGGCGACTGCAGCTCATGATCCCTTCCTTCCAGGAGATGTGCCGCAAGGTCCTTGTCTGTTCGGTAAACCGACTTTTCGATCTAAGTTGATTGCCTGGTCATCCACACAGCAGTTCCAGGCAGAACAGGCTAGAGCAGCCGCAGAACGGTAGAGTGCATCGTTCACTGTGGTGATTTTGCTCTCCTCGGGAGAGGTGAGCCAGATCCGATTGTTCAGCGGGGGCGACGTGACTGCATACTATGCACGGGCCTGGCCTCTTCGTGTGTGTGCGGGCTTTTATGTCTGACCTCCACGAGCACAGACAACATCCTGTCCAAAGGCTCCCTGTCGATCGAGTGCATGGTACCGTAGGATGATCGGTTCTCGCCGCTGTCGGCGAGCCTTTGCATCCCTCAGAGCAACGCGCGCAAGCATAGCGTCACCGACACATCGAGGTCTAAAATGCGGCGCAATTAGGTGGCCCAAGTCCGTTTCTCTCGTGGAAGTCGGCCCCAGAGACGGACTGCAGAATGAGTCCTCCACCGTGCCAACTGAGGTCAAGGTGAGACAGTAGTGACGACAACGGCACGGTGTAGCCCCGACGCCTTGTTGTCCATTGCACATGCCACAATATGTACAGATACATGGAAACATCTCTCTTCCATTTTTCTTGCGAGTATATTGTGTCTGCAGTCTCCCCGCAAGTTGAAGTGAAGCAGCAAGCATGCTCCGTGACTCTGTCGGCAACACGCCTGCTGTCTTTCTTGGCTGTTGCATGCACGCTCAATGCAGGTGGAATTGATTGATCGTTTGGCATCGGCCGGGTGTAAAGCTATCGAAGCTGCATCCTTCGTCAGCCCCAAGTGGGTTCCGCAGATGGCTGACGGCGGCCGAGTCCTGGCCAATCTTGGAAGAGCCCCGGGCGTCAAATATGCGGCCCTGACGCCGAACCTACGAGGGCTTGAGGCAGCGCTCGAGGCTGGTGCTGATGAGGTGCAGTTGATCGGGGCCCGCGGTCTCTATTTCGTGCCGTTGGTTCAACCTGGCGGAAAAAGCCACGGTTATACGGCTGCTTGCGCTGGCTTCCTTTGTCAATAACGGCAACTTGGTAGCGAGTGCTTCTTCCCGAAACACAGCAGTTTCCATCACAAGTTATCTAAACGACACACATGGAGCATCCAAGATCGGTACCATGTCTGGATGACGTGCACCACAAGCCGGAGGGGGTGAAAAGGAGATAAACTGGCAGGCGGTGACGGTAGCGCTGATGCAGCTCAGTGCGCATGGTGGACGCTCCAAGGTATGGTATACAGCAGTCGTTTATCTCGAACCGTGTTGGCGCCCGCCCCTCCCAAATCAAGCACCCAGCAATCCACCACCACCTCCACACCGAATTTGACTCAATCCAGCATTCTATCAGGCGCAATCAAAGATCTCGACAAACAGGCAAAACCTCCGGTCGCGCTCGCTGTCGATAGTCCTACTTGACTCGCGGCTGCCCTTTGTATTCGAAAACGGTATATATTCCAGGATACTTTCTGCACCTGTATTGCTGTTCCTGCGACAGGTTGCGGTTTTTGCTGCGGCGTCAGAGGCATTCAGTGCTGCCAACATCAACTGCTCAATTGTTGAGAGCTTAGAACGCTTCAAGCCAGTCATGGACAAGGCCAAGGTAGCGGGGTTGCCAGTACGGGGCTACGTGTCGTGCGTACTCGGGTGCCCATACGAGGGGCGCGTGGCTCCAGGAGCGGTTGCGGAGGTTAGTGGATTGGCTTACCTGCTGTGCCGAGTCCCTGGTACACGAGAGTTGAATGGCAAAGGAATCGTTGATTGTACGGGGTAGGTTCGCTCACCAAAGCAGTCGTCTACTGGAGCGAAATATTTATTATAGTGGCAGCACGATCGAACCATGTCCAAATGGTTACCCGTCGCAGCGGCCGTTGATCTGGCGGTCTTACGATTCCGCGGAATAGGTGGCGACTTCCCTGTTGGACATGGGATGTTACTCTGTGTCACTGGGAGACACCATCGGCGCGGGCACAGCTGGTAGTACCCTTGTCCTCTTGGAAAACTTGAGAGAAGCGGGAGTGCCGCTGGAGAAGATGGCAGTGCATTTCCACGACACATACGGGCAGGCCTTGGCTAACATCCTCGTTGCGCTGGAGGAGGTGAGGGGTCAAATGGATGCGATTAATCCATGTCCACAACGCTGCTCGTGATGCCGGTCGCCGCGCGTGTGACTGCCGCCTACAAGTAGTGGGTCCAAAACGGTGTTCGGAAGTTCATATCGTATTTTTGTGAGGGATCGGTGGTGTTGCCATGCTGAAGATCTAGCAAGTTCAGTATCTTCCGAAAACGCAAACCCTACACAATACCACCCGGCGTGGTAGTATGTTGGCGATGCAACCTAGGTCCAAAACATCGAACCACTCTCAGATCAAGTAGGTGTGCGACAAGAAGATGCCATACCCCGAACACAACATACTAACGCACCCGTTCATGATATTTCCAGGCGCCAGAACGTGATCACCGGGGTACGGTTGTGTCGTGTGCGGTATTTCTGAGCAAGACTCTGAGATCTCCTTTCGGAACATGTTTCAGAAAAGACGCAATTAAGTCGTATTGGTACCTGGGAAATCTGATTAATTTGCAGGGCCCTAATCGCCGTTTGCCAAGGATAGTGCTGCTTTGAACCCCCGATTTCCCGCCAACACTCGCCGACTGCAAGCCCCAAATCCCCCGCTGCTCTTCATGCTTTGTTTTTCTCCAGGGTATTACTGTGTTGGACACTTCGGTTTCTGGCCTAGGGGGTTGCCCATACGCTCCCGGGGCAAGCGGCAACGTCGCAACAGAAGACGTGGTGTACATGTTGGATGGGATGGGAATCAACACGGGCATAGACCTAGATATGTTGTTAGACACTTCTCTGTACATTTCAGATAAGCTGGGTAGGCCGCCCCAGTCCAGGGTAGCGAGAGCGATGTTGGCCAAGCGAGGTTGACTGTTGGCAGCTAGTGACACCATATGTGTTTGTCCGTGATTTGTACATAGCACACATTCGAAGGAGCGACTACGTTGGTACCTATTTTGTGTTCGGCTGCCCTTTTGGCATCTCTATCGACGTGAACCTATTCATTGGCACCCCGGAATCGTTTATGTATTGTCAAGGAAGCAGACACGCGCCTTCTTCATGTTTCCTCCCTTGACGAGGGTTTTTGGGGACTAATTCGCTGCGTGTCAAGTTTGGAACAATCGAGTTTTGAGTCGAGCGCGCATGGTGTGTTCTACATGACAACAAACGAGACGTGCGCGTTGTGATGTCGCTGCATGTGGTTGTTACCGAGGGGTATGACAGGATTCGGTTTCTAGGAGCTACCACTGATGATGGCGCTGATGTTCGACAGATTTTTTGACGCAGCAGCGAATCCGTGTCAGTGACACCATAGGGACGGAAGCATCGGATGTGTGGTCAAGACCATGCCATCGAATTCGACACCACTTCCAAACGAAAGCGTGCGTCACCCGTCATGTATGTAGCGACGAAGTCTCATCACACCCAAATGTGCGTTTCCCGTCACGTCGTGACCCCCACACTTCCGCCTAGAGTACGAAGGCGCAAAACCCATAGTACGGGACGCAGGGCGATCAACCAATAGTGATATCGGTGTAACGCTTTCCTTATTTCCGTGCGAAGAGCTACAATTCACAAACCAAGCGAACTGCGCCGACACCGCAGGATAGACATTCTCTCTTCTTCCCTTATTCGGCAACAACTCACGATATGGCAATCAATACATTTGTAGCCTCGTTGCTGGTGAGCTGTCAACGCTCGTTTCGGCGACCTCACCCCCGGCAGGCCCGAGAGCATTTTTCGAATGTGCTGATGAGTCGAAGGCCCATCCAGTGAATGAAGTGGTGGCGTTGTGTACCGCTTGCGATATATTGCTGGGAAACTGCCGAGTAGATTTAGGCGATGCTTGACCAACTTGGGTAAAAGGGCGTGAGTGCAGATCGAGGGGAGGACATCGTGGGTTCCATCTCGGTTATTTCTACCGTACAAGAAGACTGATCTGGGATGACAATGGTGAGAAACTCAACTTTGTCGATAGAGTCTCCACAAATGGTTGCTGACCACTTGCCGAGGACCTCGTTTTGCTTTACTGGTTTGCTGCGGTATGCGTGCGTTTGGGTGCCCAGAAAGACACAACTTGTTGAGCTGTGATGGCGGCACGGCGACTGACATGCCAGACGAAAGAGGAAAACAGCGTGACAACCCAAAATGATCACGGATGCGGTCTATTGTACGGTTGAACCATCGCTCCGCACATGGTATGTGTTACACAGCGTGGCCGACTCAACACAACCCAACCCTAACCTTCACCGACGGCCACCGCACGGCCTGGCAGGCGAGAACCTGGGGCGAGAACGCCGGGAGGAGGGGAGAAAAAATGCCTCCTCTCAAGCATTTCGCCGTTACCAAGCGTGGAACTCCCAAGGGCTATCTGTGTTCTCATGTTCCCACTTCGCGGCTCCCCCCCTGCAGCCACGGTCTCGTCACGCCTGTCAACGGGTTGTAGACCTGAGGCGGACAAACTGGAATGCTGCTGCAGCAGTTCTCACTTCAGCTTCCACAACTCGAGCTCCTGTAAGTCGACGCAAACTTCCGGACCGCTTGTTTTTCTTGTTCGACGACCTGGTTTCTGTGGTTTCTTGCCGCTGCTCATGCTCCCAATTCTGTCGCTGCTGCTCTGCAGCTGCACTACAGTTGTGTTGGGTGTGGTGTCCAACACCAACACCTAGACTCAACCCCCTGCATACCCCCAAATCGGTGTGCATCGTGCGCTCTACAGGATGACGGCAGGAGGAGGTGCTTTGGGCTATGGAGAGGTGAGAGAGAAAGTGTCCGAAGGCAACCACCAAACAATAGGTTGCTGTTGTATGTAAATATTTGGCTCGGGGCCGCGTGCCCGTTTTGAAATTCATGTGCGTCCCCTCGGAGTGCGGACAGGGAGATTCACTGACACGAAATCTGTGGTAAACAATGATCTGTTGCCGACGCGCCGCAGTCCGCACCAGCCCTTCGCATAGCAGGCGGGCATGTGCAAAGTCATAAATGCGAGAGCTTGATTTGAGTCGATCCAGGAACGAGCGTGTATGATGCGGGTATGTACAAAGAAAAGTCAGGCGGGAATTGATTGCTACTCTGTGTCATGTTGTCTCCCGTGGAAAGGCGGTGCGGCGCAAGTTTGCTGGCACACCCCTTTGCAGACATCCGCGTAGATCTTTTGAGCGTTGTCCACTGTAGCAGCAGTCGCCAACACTCTGTTGCTGAATACCCACCTCGACCCCTCTGAATTGTTCCCTTGCTTTTTGTCTAGCCGGGCATGCCAACAACCGCTTTTGCCTTCCCTTGAAGATATACGATGATAAGTGTCCTCTGTGCATAAGTTGATGTCGTCACTGATGGAAAGTGGCCGAGTCCTATGTGCATGTTTCTGGCGACGGGGGGGAGGTTGAGGCATCTGTGGGGCGGTTTTTCGTCGTGTATCGCTTACCTGCGTCACAAGACTCTTCGCCGCGTAACGCTTTGGAGACGGGTCGTCGTTCCTACATCGCAAAGAGACTCGTCAAACATTTTCGGCGCTCGTTGTCTCTTCCGTTGGGTACCTTGAAGCTTTTGAGAGGCATGTCACGTGTCACTCTTGATTGCGATGCGTACAGTATACACCGGTCGCCCCGGTGGTCTAGTCGGTAGCCTCGCAGCCTGCTCAGGGCCAGGTCATGGGTTCGAGTCCCGGCAGAGTGAGTTTTTTCTCACTAATTAAATCCTGGTCTAGGATGAAAGCGACGCGCTGCAAAGCTCGTTAGTAAACCATAATCGACTTCATAAGTCGCGAGGGAAGGGATTGCTGTACCCTTCTCGCGATAAAAATACCTCAGGCAGGAACCGCAGGAGGGAGTCCAGCCCCCCCCTCCTATGTGACCCCGGTTGGGTCGTCCAGCTATTTAGTAGAAGTGGAGGATAGGGGCCAGAGGGGCAGACGACAGAGTCCAATGATGGGAGGAAAAAAAAAAAAAGTATGCATATACAGATGCATATGCGCAAGGCAGGCCGGTATTTGTAGGTGCTCGGTGTAGTGGCCTTCACCGACTCAGTGAAAGTCCAGTATCCAGCAGGTGTCACTCCTCGCTGCTAATTAAGACTCGAACGTATGTGTCCCCGTCGAGTTAAGTCGACGTGACGAGGCTGAACCTCGTGTCCGGTGTTTTTCGAAAGGGCCGTTACTCCTGCTCATTACTCGATCAAGGTCACTTCAGCTCCTCCCTCCTCCTCGGGAGCATCCCCTATTCGGCCTACTGCTGTATGTAGCATGCGCTTTACATTGCGCCGCACCGTCAGTACGAGTGCTGTTCTCCGCCTCGTAAATCTGTGCATGCTTTTCCTCCAAGAGTCATATCCCAGTACTTCGTACGTCGTAACTCGTAGTAGGGACATATTTTTTTGTCTCGCTGTCCATCTCGCCGCGTGGATAGGGGTTTTCACTGTGTTTTTATACATACCGTCGAAATTCAACAGTGTCCTTTCGCAGAGTTATTCACTGCCCATGTTCTCTCTTGAAATCATTATGCTGTAGCAGGATTATCCACTTTCCTCTGACTCCCGCCCATTTCCGCATTATCTATGTATATTCTTCATCTTCTCTCTCTCGCTCTCCCTCTCTCCCTGCCTCCCTCTCTCACTCTCTCTCTCGTATTCAATCGTACTCCTGTTTGCCCTCTCTTCTTGAGGATATTAGCCAGCTATCGCCATCCTTCCTGCACGATGAGCACCCCATGACGTAGTTCGCTGCTCTGTGTATCTGCTTCGAGTAGCGGGAGGATGGGGTGAATTGATATGATATCACCTTCTTGTGGCCATCTGTCTCTCGACCGCATGCCGCCATACCGTCCATATCCATACCATCATGCGTGCTTTCAACCTCTCCCCTTTTTTTTGTTCCCAAGCGCCAGCAGCACAACGCGGAAACTCCTCCTGTCTCCACGAGGCCAAAACCGTCGTTGCTAGATGGCGAAACCGTCACCAACGTGGTGAAACCGATCGGTTACGTGCTGGCAAGGAAGCGTAGTGGCGGAGGCGAGTTCCACGGAGCGTTACACATCACCAACTTCAGGTTGATCCTGCAGCGCACAGGGGCCGGCAAGGTGCGGTGCGGTGGGATGGGGTAGCGCATTGACGTCATGTGCCCCGTCGTGTGTTGCTTTGACGGCCTTGCGGCGTTTTCGAAAGTGATTCACCTGTTTACGCGAGGCTCCGACAATCGCACACCTCTGCTGTAATGGCATTGCGCCGCACACCGCACGCACATGCATGTAACATCCTTTCCTTTCTCCTTGTCATTTTGCTGAGGTTTTACGTCCATTGCGCCGCACACCGCACACGCAGGCGTGTACCGTCCTTTACTGTCTCCTTGTCATTTTGCTGACTGTACTTATTTTCACTTCGACTGCTTGGGTGCGGTATGCGTGTGCCGTCCGGTCGCCACGAAGAGCCGAAGCGCGAATAACGAAACCGCAAAGCCCCCAGCTTACCTCGTATGTGCTGCTCAGTATCACGAAGGCTTTCCAAGACGGCTTCTTCTCCTCCGGTCATGACCACCCTTCAACCTTTTTTTTTCATCAGGACGCCTTCGGGCGAGATGACCCCTCGCTCCAGTGGGTTTCGTTTCCGATGGGCTGCATCAAGGACGTCACACAGGCCGACGATGATCGTCTCGCCATCACGATTACGGCAAAGGTGGGAGTTTTTTTTTTGTCAGATGTCGACGACGAGAGCGCGGATGTGTGGTTGGCTGACCGTGTGCCTTGTGACTGGGTACGACTTTGTGCTAAGGATGTGTTAGTCAGTATTCTGCTGTAGAGAAACGTCGGTTGACACACTACGTTACATACGGTGAACATGGTAGTGGCGTGGGGCCTGTACCATACCTTATTTGGCGGTGCAAATGCTGCATTTTTGGTTCAAGCAGAAGTGCTCGTGGCATTTGGGATCAGGCGCGGGTATTGGATTCGGTGCTGCGTTCTAATCGAAGTGGACTCCCCCTCTTGGCTACGGTCTTGGGCACTTGGTAGATACTGCTTGTTCTTCGCCGCTTGATGTCACCACGCCCTAACGCCCGTAAACCGATGAACCACCGTCGCCGAAACGGAACGCTATTTGTGTGTGTGTACCTGTACCGGCGTCTGTTGCGTCCACTCGAGCAGGACCTTCGGAGCTGCCGCATGCGGTTCCTCTCCAACAACGCTCTCTTCGTCTCAACTCTCACGCAGGTTTGTGATGCTGCGTACCGTCGACTGCTGTGTTTCTCGACAGGCAACATCTAGCAATTGACAGCGTGTTGCTGTTGGTGTTGTACAGCAATGACGCCCGCAGCTCTATAGCAAAGCAATATTTAGCGTGCTATGGACCATTTTTAGTGCCACCAACCCACGAGGAACTCGATGAACGCACGCACTGTGCTGACGCCAACTATGAGACTGATATCGCCAGGTTCACGTGTGGACAAGTTCCCCTTGGGATGTGTGGTGTAGATACACACCGGCTCAACCTCTTGTGGAGAGGCTGAAGAGTACGGATAGTTGTGTTGTGTGTCAGGGGGGAACGAGCCCTGTCAAGCAAGGTTCAGCATCCATCATACACTGACTCTATATGTGGCAACACCCTGAAAGTAGATCTCCGACAGGTCATCTGACGTCACAATCTACGACAGTCTGAGGTGGCATTCACATACGGACCATTTTTAGGGGTTGCCAGGAGAGGTGCGCGTGGCATGCATTCGTCTTGGCGTCGTCGTTGTTGTCGCGGGGTTGCCTTGGTTTTGCATCGCTTTCGCTTTGAGATTTTTGTGGCGTCGTTCTTGTTACCATGATGACGCTGCTGCTGCTGTTGTGGTGGTATGTCATGCCATGCTGTTTGGCTAGCACTAGCGGTGCACTCTCGCTCGCATGGATACCAGGGTTAGCACACGCCTAACCTTGCTGCTGCAGGGGGGGGGGCGGGGGGGCATTGGTTGCATCATGCGCTATTTTTCGCTGGCGTGTGTGCTCCATGTGGAGCTTTCTTATCCACCTGAGGCGGTTATCCATATCTGCGTTGCTCCCGGTGACAGAAACGGAAGAACAAAGTCGGTACAAGTAGATGTGGTGCAGAATCTCATCATTCTCGAGGACCAACTTGTTGTTGTTGAATGTGTTTGCCAGCACACTGTGGACTTTTTTTGTGTCCCTCATCTGCTTGCAGTGGCCCGAGCTGGCCGTATGCACCCTCAGCACAGATGCGTGTACATGTTCGTCCCTATCATACATCACCATAGATCACCATAGATCATGTAGGTGCGTAATTCGTCCGCTGGTCCATCATTGAGGAAGTCACTCACCTGTTCATCTCTCAGCAAACTGGCACGTGCTGTGCACATCGTGATAGCTGATCGACGCCTGTTTTGTGTCTCGTGTTGTGTCTCGTGTTGTGTCTCGTGGTGCGGTTCAGATCATTGGGTCCATGGCTGCCTTCACGCAAGGCTCTCCGGAGAGGTCGTTCGCGATTTGTCACGCCGCTGCAGTTGACAGGAGACGCTGTGCAGATGACGCCGCAAAATTGCGCGAGGTATGTATGTATGGCAGGAGATGTATGGTAGGCGTCATAGTTGCAGGAGGAGCGCTGCTGAGGGGATACCTCGTCGTTTGTATTGCTGCTGTTCAGGTCGCATCTGCTGCGGTGTTAAGACGTACATTCCTGCCTTGTTTGTCATTGGTTGAGCTTGGTATCGTACACCAATCCTGCTCTCGATGTTGAGGGGTGCGGAATTAGACGGTGGGATGTCGATGTCCCGGGGGAGTCACAGGAAGTAGGCGGTGAGTTAGCTTTTCACGTGGCATACCTTGGACGACGGTATCATATCAGCATGGAAGACTAACCCACGTCTCCACGTCTCTGTGTCTTTTGAGAAACTTCTGGCGCCCATACGTACGGTGCACAAGTGCAACATGGGATAGTACTCTTTCGTCTAGCTTTTGACGAAGTACGGAAGCCGACATTTTTTCGAGTATCGGAAGAGGATTTGTGGTTCTCATCCAGACAAGACAAGCTGACATTCTGCGGCCATGGTCTGGTGTTGCATAGGGAGGGAAAACTACATGTTGTTGCCACAGTGAAAGCTGAAAGCTTTTAACTTCGCCAGAAATTCAGCGACACAACTGCATGATCGATCAGCATTGGAGATGACGTCCACTTACATCCCCGCATGTGAAACGTTAGCGTTCCGTTTGGCGGCCCCTGTCTCCTTTTTTTTGTCCCTCAGAGCCGTGCAGTTGGTGGCAACGGGCGTGTTGGCAATGCTGCGGCTGCGGCTGCGGCTGCTGCTGCGGCTGCCCGTGCCGACAACAGTCTGGACGGATGGCTTGTCTACGATGAGGAATCAGACTTTGTTCGGCAGGGGGTCATCAAACCCAAGTCTCTCGACTCGTGAGTCGCTGTTGTTGTTGCTACTGCTGCTGCTGCTGCTGCTGCTGCTGCTGCTACTGCTGCTGCTGCCGTCTTCACTTGACATTCCGCACTGACCTCTCTACCCAGTACACCCTTCGCTTGCTGATGTTGAAGATCGACAAACGAATTTCCGTGTTTTCTCTGTCTGACACCAAGGCAAGGGGCAGTCCAATCGAGACGATACCCAGACGACACCCCGCATCAACCCGCGAAAGAAAAACCCTGCACCAAGTATCTAAATCCGGCCGTCGAATGATGTACAGTATTTCGTGTACAGTACAGCAGTGGCTGCGCCGTACCGGTTTTCCGTAGGCGTTCACATGCAACGGTTTTCTATTGTCCCACAAAGTTGACGATCTGCGTTCAGACAGGTATTTTATTTTATTGCCGGAGATGCTCTGCCTTCTTCTTGTGGGTGTGGTTGTGAGTTTCTGCAGCAACAAAGCAGCGTAGTCTGTCTTCTGTCTGACTTGGAAACGGGTGTTGCATGTTGAAAGAGGGACCGACCGAACCATTCTCACGTGGCATATCACGCGGGTCTTCTACTCTGACAGGCATGTCTGGCGACGGCATAATCCCCCCATTTGTTTCCTGGTGTGTTATCTCTGTGTGTGTGTTCTCCGTCTGGGAACATGCAAGCCTCGTTCTCTCTGCCTCCTGTCTTCATCGTTTCTCAACGCACCATTGTTTTCTTGTTTCCTTACGCTACCCATTCTTGTGTTTTTGCTTCAGGCCTGCGCGAGCAGGACCGGGAAATGCGGCCTCTGGAGCTATGCATACGGAAGGGTCGCTGGCGGGGACGCCGGACGAACCACCCCGTTGGAGGCTTTTTTACAACCGGTCCTACACGCTGGTGCCCTCGTACCCCCTGCACTTCGTGGTGCCCGCGGTCATGAGTGACTCGAACGTCAGGTGCGGCACTTGCGTTTTGGTCATGGTGGAACACCTTGGTGGAACGCTGTGGCGGAATACTGTGAGAGGAATCCTGTACTGAACACAGTGGCGATGGAATACAGTCAGTAGATACCGTGGTGGATATGCCGCGATGGAATAAGGTGATGGAACACCGTTGTGGAAGCATGTGATGGGAGCGAGCATTGTGCAAACGCTACTGCTGCTGTAGGCCCCTCGTTTCCGCCAGCCACCGAGGCTCGGAGCCACTTTTTGTCTAATATCCAATCTAACGTGCTTCGCCGCTGCCGATGGTGTTGGCGACGTTGGGGCGCGTTTGACGTCTCAGGGCGGCGGCGGCGTACCGCAGCAAAGGCCGTCTTCCGGTGGTGACTTGGATGGACCCCAAGACACGGGCGGTGCTTTCTCGTTCCGCGCAGCCGCTGGCCGGATTGGGAGGGAAAACGTGAGAGAACCGGAGTGCTCTCATTAAACGTTGTGTGCTATGGCTACAGCATGAGTCAGTTTGTTTTCTTCACGCACGGATTTGCCCGTGAGTGGTTTACTGGATCACACGTCTGCCTGAAGGAATGGGCTACTAGGAAGACGTTGATATTGCACCGCAGTACCCAACATAACAACATACAGCAGCAAATTGTGTAAACATCCCCCCTTCTTGTTGCACCACGACTGTGCGGGCTGTGCGAGTTAGTTCTTTTTTTGACGAGCTGCGTTGCCCTCTCGATGGTCGGCCGTTCGTGCAACCCTCCCCTCAGCGTCGCTGCCCTAGATTACGTCAAGGTCGAGCCAATGGTTGCGCGGCTTTTTGCTCCCCTTGCAGTGCGGATGGCGTAGCCACAGGCCTCTTTGTTAAGCACGGATCTTGCTCTTTTTGACACCACGCCTGCCGCCGATGCTGCTGCTGCTTGCAGATGTGCCGAGGACGCTCGTCTACTGAGCTTGTTCGGCAACAAGGGCAAGCCGGAAGAGACGACGCTGCGGGCAGCAGCACCACCACCAACAACAACAACAGACACTCCAAGTACGCCCACCGCGCCCATCAGCAGCAGCACCAGCAGCACCAGCCGTCGTCGCGCGAGAGCCTCGACATCGCTGCCACCGGGGTTGCGCGGCAATCGCAGGAGCACCATCGGTGGGGGGGTGTGTGCGCGCGCCGGCGAAACGACTCCACGCCTCAAAGCAGCCGATGAGAACACCGGTAGCAGCACCGAAGGCGCCGTTGCGAAGCAAGGGGGTGACCGAGGAACCAAACCCGCCGCCGCCGCCGCCGCCGCCGCGGGGAAGACGAAAGAACCAAGAGCAGAAAGCGGGGAATCGTTTCTGGATGCCTTGTCTTCCTGGACGCCTCCGTGGTCTACCACCAAGGTCGCCGTGCAGCAGACCCAGCCGGGCCACCAGAGCCCTGCGAGCCACGACGAGGGCCTAACGCCGCCGAAGAAGGAGCCGGGGGCTCCGCCCGACTTGCCGTCTCTTGACCACGCCGCCGGCGGCGGCGGCGGCCAACGGCAGGTCGAAACGAAGCAGCCGAGGGCGGAAACCGAGGAGCGGCGGAGAGCGGAGGCCCGCAGCTCGGAACGAGTAGGGTCGGAGGAGTCAGCATTCCACGGAGCGTGCGCTTCGCCGGCCGGGACGGCGGCGGGGGGCAAGGGGATTGAGAAGCCGGGTTCGGGGAAGGCGCCGCGGCTGTGCCTGCTGGACGCCAGAACAGCTGTGGCGGCCTTAGGAAACAAGCTGGTCGGCAAAGGGATCGAAACGGGCGCGGGGTGAGTGTTTTTTTTCCGGGGGCGATGGAGCAAGGGTTGGAGTTGGGGAGTTGGGGCTCTTGGGTGCGGGTTGCGCATGGCAAGTTGTTGATTGGGGAGTAGAAACGGTGCCTGCCTACATCGGCGTCGCTTGCATTGTAGTTCGGATCTATGTGCAGGAGAGAGGGAGAGAGGGAGAGAGGGAGAAAGTGACAAGACAGACAGACAGGCAGGCAGAATGGAGTATCTGGTTGGAAATCCTTTAAGCTTTTCTGGGAGGATGTGAGCATGGGCGACACACGCCAGGTAGGTTACCGTAGCAAACATCAGGTTTTTGTTTTGTGCACTGTGTTCGCGGTGCAGAAGAGGTCCCTGTGTGGTGCCGGTGTTTTCGTTGTAATGCAGACCACACTGTATTGCCATGTCATTCTCAACACTTTGAACAGGGACCCTCTACAGTAGTGTTGCACTCAGGGTTGACATATTATCCGCAGAGGGCGTCCGTTTTTGTCGACGAGGTAAGCTTCGGAACAAAAAGCTCGTGCTGACAGCTAGACGCTTGCTCCGATAGCGAAACTCGTCACCTTTTGTTGCCTCCCTGCTGCTGGCGTTGCTGCTACTGCCGCGGTCGGTCCCTTCCAATGAATGTCACCGACGTGGAGGTACGGGAATTCTACACAGCTGGTGTTTTCGGGCATCGGAAACGTGCACGCCGTGAAAGACGCATTCGAGGAACTCAGAGACTCCCTCGACCCCGTTAAAGTGGAGTCGAAGATGGACCGGTGGAAGGAGGACTCCGCCAAGATGGTCGCGAAGAAGATGGTCAGTTTGCCGCCGCGATGAGTTGGGATTGATACGCAGTAGAGTGGTTGGCTTGACCCCGAATGGCGGAACAGTTTGCCAGGATGAGTTGGAATTGATTGCCGGAGGAGTTTATTTGGCTTGACCCCGAATCGCGGAACATCGCGTCGTTGCTCGGTAGGCACATTGGCGTGGTGCTCGGTATGCCTCCGCTTATGTTCCCATTATAGTAGGTGCGGATGCAACGAACACCTGTTACGTACTCCGGAGCGAACACTATGCCCGTATTACAAGGTTTTCAATGCTTGCCTTTCGAAGACATGCTGAGCTTTGTTCTCATGCTTGCCTTTCGAGCCTATATGCTCGTGACGTGTATACTCCCTAGTTGGCAACCGGAGGCGCCTTGGCTCGAAAACGATACCGTACCACTTCCAATCCAATCCTGACCGCCGTACCCCAGCGGGCATGGAACGTATCAATCTCTACCTTGTTTTTTATCTTTCATCCGGCCTTGTTGGTTTGTCGTACTTGCTTGTGCATGCAGTCTCGAAGCCTGGGGTTCGCGAGGATGATGGACCTGAAGTACGCCTTGGGAGACCAGCTTGGAGGAGATGAGCTCGAGGAAACACCTCCGTACACGCTGTGGCCCCGGCTGCTGAAACAGATCTTGGGCGCGAGCTTGTTGGTGAGCAGGCTGGGTGCTCGATACCGTCTTTTCGCGTGAATGCAATGCAACTACTGTGGCTGACTTGTTTTTCATCTGCGTTGTCTTTATTTGTGTAAAGTCGGGGCTGTTCAGCTTGTAGTCTAACAGACTTGGGAGTACGTTGTTGCATCGGCGCTTGCCAGTGTTGCCTCTCTTTGCCGTAGACGTCATTTTTCGTCCATTCATCCCCCGCGGCATATCCGAGAAATTCACGTACACACCCAGGTGCGGTGTCAATTTGAGAGTATTTGTTCGGCCTGCGGTAAATTGTACTTTGGCTGTGGCCAGCATGCTTTCGGACGACTAGCTGTTCTCCGCCCGCCCTGCATGTATCTCCCATATTGTGTCGTGCGTGCAAAGAAGGACGACACTTCGGAATCAAAGTACCATGCTTTTCTGCAATCCATACTTCCTTGATCTCCTGTAAAGTCGGTAAGACGCGCGTTGCCGTGTCAAACAAAACAATGCCGCCCCCGTGCGTGTGTGTCCGCCCAATTGCCGTCTTATCCATTGCAGGCGGCTCGGCTCTTGCGCCTCGACGGGTGCTCCGTGCTGGTGCACTGCAGCGACGGCTGGGACCGAACCCCGCAGATTTGTGCCACGGTGGAGCTCCTGCTGGACCCGCACTACCGCACTCTGGAGGGGTTTTGCACCCTCGTCGAGAAGGAATGGCTCAGCTATGGCCACAAGGTGGGCGTGAGAACGGGATCGCCGTCGCTTTGTACAGGAAAATTCGTCCTTGTTTGTCACTTGTCGCGAGAGTGCACGCCCTCGTTTTCGTGTAAGGGAATGTGTTTCGTTCCTTCAGCGGCAACGCCGTTTGCTTTGGTCCGATCTAACGACTCGTGTCTTGGGGGAGGGTTGCTTTTGCGTACGTCTACAATCGTCCATGGAGTACGGTACTGGCCTACAGTGCCACCAATTGATCCCGCGGTGTCGTGTTATTGTCGTCATCGTCATCGTCATCGTCATCGTCATCGTCGTTCCAAGAGGTGTTATGTTGTGTGTCAGTCGGCGATGCTGTCATTGCTTGCTGTACAGCTGGTAACGCCCTGGGGCATCATCGCTGCCCCCAACCAACCAACAACCCTAGCCACTGCCATGGCTTTCGAGAACCTCAAACACGAGGAAAAATGACAAACCTCCCCTCAGACCGGCTGCCATCTTTTGGCACCAAAGCTCCTGTGTAGACTGGCGCCAGAATAGAGGGCACGAACACATACACAACACAAGTTGGCCGGGTCCCTAACTGCGTCCCTTCCCTGCCTCCGGCGATGATCCCCGTGTCCATAGTTCTGGGCCCGGTGCATGGGCGGCAACAACGAGCAAGAGATGGTAGAGGGAGCAGCTGCGGCGACTGGGGCGGAACTCGGCGATGATCCTTCCGCCATGCGCTCCATGAAGGACTTCGTGGGGGGGCAAGTGAGGGAGTATGCCGAGCTGAGCCCCGTGTTCCTGCAGTTTCTGGACCTGGTGCACAACCTCCTGGCGCAGTTCCCCACGGCGTTCGAGATATCGGAGGGGTTGCTGACTTTCGTTGCGGAGCACACCTTCAGGTGTGGATGGTGCTTTCTACCGTATTTGTTTTGTTTGCCCCTAGTGTTTTTCCGTTTTTGTTTGATGAGAGTTTTCACACGTATTGTACTGCTGTGGCGGAGCATGCCCTCAGGTGTGGTTGATTTTGGTGTTTGTGCTGAGACCGGTCACACGTACGGCAGTGGCGATTTCGATAGTGTGAGGTAGGGTAGGCTGGGGTGCTGTTCTAGGACACTGCCTGTAGATTAGGTTCCGATGACGGTGCCACACCGAAGCCCTCTCTTCTTCCACGCTAACCTGAGCGTTGTCCGTGTTGGGTCTTCGCTGTCCACCTCCGTGACGTGGCGGAGGACACCCACTCTTGTCTGTTTCCTCACCTCCGGCGAAGGTAGAAGACGGTCGTTGCTCGTTCGACGCATGGTGGTATTGTGGTGTTCATGCTGGAGAGGCAATCACGATGAATACGGTTTCAAGTTGCAAGTATCTTAATTTTACGTACAACTCACGTACCGGTGCAAGCTATCGCTCAAACATACACAAATTTGGTGCATCATCTGCAGGAGAGGCAATCACGAACGAATACGGTTTCAAGTTGCGAGGATTTTTCTTTTACGCACAAGTTCCGTACCAGTACAAGCTATCGCTCAAACATACACAAATGTGGTGCGTCATCTGCAGGAGAGGCAATCACGAATGAATACGGTTTCAAGTTGCAAGTATCTCAATTTTACGTACAACTCACATACCGGTGTAAGCTATCGCTTAAACATACACAAATTTGGTGCATCATCTGCAGGAGAGGCAATCACGAATGAATACGGTTTCAAGTTGCAAGTATCTCAATTTTACGTACAACTCACATACCGGTGTAAGCTATCGCTTAAACATACACAAATTTGGTGCATCATCTGCAGGAGAGGCAATCACGAATGAATACGGTTTCAAGTTGCAAGTATCTTTATTTTACGTACATGTTGCGTACCAGTACAAGCTATCGCTCAAAGAGTGAGTGCAGAAGTGTGGTGCGCATGGACCATAGGGTCGTTAGTGCTGAGCGTGCAATGTAGGGGAATATACCTGGTGTGTGGTTTTCGGTCAGGCATGCACGATACAAGACCATGTACTGCTGTATCACTCTGTAGTTTTTTCCTTTTGTCGCGGTACGTATCGTTGTATCTCGTGCGGGCGCTCTCCGGATGCCTGCTTCTACAGTGGGCTCTACGGCACGTTCTTGTGCGACACGGAGCAGCACCGATCCCGCCTCAAGATCAAGCAGAGAACCATCAGCGTTTGGACAACCGTGCTCAACAACAGGGAAGCCTTCGTAAACGCCAACTACAGGGAAACCCCGGAGCCGCTGTGGCCGTCCCTGGCCCCCAGTAAGGTGTGTATGGTGCGTGTGAGGCTCACGTTTGAGGTAGACCGCGAGGTATGACTGTTCAACTGCCACGAGTCAGATCATCGGTGGGGCACCAAGCCTTCGGTGTCCCGCTGCTGCGACGCAGTACGAGTGGTTTCGTCAACTCTTTCGATGTCGACCAGATGAGCGAGAGGCACGGCATCTTGTGCATGTGTGTTTCGGAAGGAACCCACACGGAAGGAGGGTTGTTACCCATGGTACAATTCGTGCGGCACGTTCGTACGTCCGTGCCAGGGCTTTTCATCTGGCGATGCCCCCATTTCGTTATTGAACTGTCCTTGTGTGGGAGAGAAGGGCTACAATTTCTCCCCCCCTCACCCTCCCCTCAATCCCCGCCGCTTGTCCGAAACCTTAACCTTTGTGAACAATCTCTCGCGATCATTGTCATGGTGACGACCTGCAGATCCGACTGTGGGAGCGACACCATTGCCGAGTGCCGTACATGAGGCCCCACCACCTGTCGAGCACCGATATGTGGGACGACAACATCACGTTCACCTGCCGCCTTGAGCGAGGGGAATGCCACCTGGGATTTCAACAAGGGGACGGGGACAAGAAAGCGTCCTCTTCGTAACGTGTGTCTTGCATATAATGGTGCCGATATTGGAGTTGAATCATTCAGAGGGTGTGCTGCAGGAGTGGATTTTTGCCGTTGTAGAATTGTTGGGCTGGGTATGCATAGTTTTTTTTTTTATCTGCCGTGCCTCCCGCTGTTGTTGGGTGTCTTGTTGGCTGGAACTTTTAGACTGCTTGTCCTAGTCCGCCTACGTGAGTGACTTCGTTGCGTGCAGGCGACGGCCAAGTTGACAAGTCGTCGCCCAACATTGTCTCTTTTCCCACCACTTTATCCGCCTGTGCTTTCCCACTTCGACGGGCTTGCGTACCGTAAGGCCTGTTAGGCTGTGGTGTTGACGTGCTCACGACGCTAGCGCGTTATTTTGCTCGTTGACTTTGGCCATCGGAGTCGCCACCGCACCGCTTGGTAAAGAGGTTAAGGGTTCCTTCTGTTTGCTTCAGTCTTAACCTTGTGTTTCAGGGGGCCGGGCACGTGGCGGGTTAGTTACCCACCTTGCGTGATTTGTGCGGAGTTTGGTGTTGTTTTTTTCGGTAAGGCGAGGGAGCGGGACGGCTGCAGGCGGCAGGGCCGTAGTGTGAATTGGTCGATCAGGCTGAGTACGGTCAAAGTGCAGTGCAGATGCCAGCGATGTCACTCTATCGCCAGTGGAGGCAGCCAGTAGACAACACAGCAGCGCAAACACAGCAGCTCAGCACTAACAAAAGCGGTGTACACGAGCTAAACAAATCCCTCTCTATTTTCCCCTCTCTCTGATATATATATATATATTTGGCCAAATTCGGATGTCATTTGTTGCAGGGAAGCGAGGAAGGCTAAACTGGCAGTGTTTTTCGCTTGAAATTTCTATTTTTTCATTGGAAGGGATAAGCAAGCGCGTTCTGTGCTGTACATAATACGGGTATTTATGTCTTCTTTCGATTTGTTGGACCGAAGAGTGGTGCATGCATGTCTTGGTGTGTGTGCAGCAGCTACATGTTTTTGTCCGCATGAAGTGTCCGCATGAACGTGTATCCAACTTCGGGGAGTCAACGAATAGCAACCACCCGCTGCTCTCTCGTGTTTTGTATGCGTGCTCTTTGGGAGTATAGTCGAACACCCACAAGTGGCCTGGACTCAAAAGGCTATTGAAGGTTGTTGGTGCTAGTGTGGGTGGGGGCTAGTTCTAAGTAGGAACCCTGCGTGTTGGTGTGCATAACACAGTTTTTTCCAGATAGTAGATTTTGCTTCGGGTGGCTCAAGGCCTACTGCCCCTTTTGACCTAAGAGGGTCATAGAATTCCGATCAGGGTGCCAGTTCGTTGTGGATGGTTCGATGCCGTTCTCGCACGTTTTTAATGTTTTCAGCTGGGCTTGATTGTTTACGATAGCCGTAGCTGTGGATGCAGGCTTCTCCTAGGCTTTTTAAGACACACGGGATCAGTTGGACAAGTACGGACATGAGAAGGTATTAGGCGGAGGACGGAACAAACGGTTTTTTAATGTGAAGACAACAGCAACAACCGGAATGGAGCTTCGTTGAACGGCGAAGTTGAGGCGCAAGAATTAGCAGTTTAGCTACAATTCGTGGCAGTAGCCCATGCCTCCCAGTGTTGTCGCGATGACTCCACCAGTGTATAGTGCAACGAGTGACAAACGTGTGGAGGTGAAGTGCAGGATGAGATGTGGTAACATTTTTGGTCATGGCATGAACACAGGGGGTTCGGGTTTCTCCCGATGTTGCACAGCTGACGCTGTCCCTACTTTAGTTGGCTACATCTAGGGAAACGTAGCAGTTAGATGTGCTCGGTGATCGAGTGTGGTGGGGGTCGTCGAATTTTCTGTGTAGTGCAGACTCGCGCGCCTCCACTTCGTTGGTTGAAACTCCATGTGATGGCATCAAGTCTTTTTTTTCCCTTTTGTTGGCTGTACCGCGCCACCTACGCGAATAACTCGAGTCATTCGTTGAGGTTGTTTTCGGAGTCTCTTACAAGTTAAGTGTGATGAGGTGGTGGATTCACTATCAAGCTAAAGCGATAGACGGAAGGAGACTATGTTGTTGCCGGACGGCAAATATTACACATGTTGCACGAAATTGCAACAGAGGGGGTAGGAACTATGCGTCAAAACTTCGACTACCACCACCCCATTCCCTGAGGCCCTAACCAGAATCAGTGCATGCATTATCAACGCCTTTTGCACTGATGGAAAATCGCGGAATGGCGTGATGTAAAACAACACGCACACAGCCTGACCAAAATAAATGTGTAGGAGAGAACAGAGTATAATGAGTGCTGTAAGTCTATCCACACACACTTACCGCACTTGTACGCGATTATTGGGCACGTATGGTTCGAACTGTCGATTCTGTCCGCTCAAAGCTAGCGGGGAGCAGGTTTTCTGGGTTGTGCTGTACAGTTGGCGCCCGCGCCACTTTCCGGTCCAACCTCAAATTCTTACTCTGGGCTGAAACGTCACGTCACGTATGTACGTACGTACGTACGTACGTGGTCCAATTTTCTAATTATGTACAATGTAGGTTACCTATACAGATGTTTTTGTATTGAGCACCAGCTGACATCACTGATGATATCAATCATCGGTGTATAGACTTAAAAAATACTCGAAATATTTGTTTCTCCTAATGTCCAGTATCCAGCCGATTTTCCTTTACTCACTTAAAAGACTCTGCCACATCCCGTTCGACTTGTGATGAGTGGGTAGATCTCGAATGAGTAGTCTTTTTTTTTTTTTTGCTCCATCATTGGACTCTGTCGTCTGCCTCTCTGGCCCCTATCCTCCACTTCTACCAGCTAGATGACCCAACCGGGGTCACATAGGAGGGGGGGGTTGGACTCCCTCCTGCGGTTCCTGCCTGAGATAGTAGTCTGTCTGTGCGTGTATTTATTTTTCCTCAAGTTTCTTTTTTGTTCGTGCTGCAGAATCCTGCTGACTACGGCCCTTGTTTATGGTTTCCATATCTTTATCTTCCTCCTTTGTTTCGACAAATAATAATGTTGACTTTTTCGACCTTTTGGGCAGTCTCCCTCCCGAACGAGTGGGAATCAGCTGTTCGACCTTTGAGAACAGTCGCAGCTTTGGCTGAGATGTATACAGATCGCCTACATGTTTCGCCAGGGTCCACGTTTGATTTTTTTCCAGCAGAGCAAGATGTTGAAGATTCGGCCGAAAGGCCACCTCGGAGCAAATCTTGGGCCAGGATCTGTCCAAAAGCTGGTGTTGGAAAAATCTTGCGTGAAAATTGCGCACCTTGAAAAAATCAAACGTGGACCCTGGCGAAGCATGTAGGCGATCTGTAGACATCTCAGCCAAAGCTGTGACTGTTCTCAAAGGTCGAACAGCTGATTCGCACTCGTTCGGGAGGCAGACTGCACAAAAGGTCGAAAAAGTCAACATTTATTTGTCGAAAGAAAGGAAGATAAAGATTTGGAAACCATAAACAAAGGCCTAACTTTATTTCTCATACTTTGGAATCCCTCACAAGAGGCGGCGGAGAACGCCAACAAACCTATAGACTACAGCAGACATCATTTCGTGGTTCGCGACGTGTGCCAGGCGGCGCCAGACAGAGAGCCAGCAGAGTGGGGGGGGAGGAGCCGCAAAAAAAACACCAAGCAAGCAAGCTCGCCATAGAACTGTGTAGACTGCCATTATTATTACTACACCAATCAATGCACTGCTGCTGCGAGGGGGTGGGTAGCACATGGGAGAGGGGGAAAGAGAGAGAGAGTTATGCATCATAGGAGCTACCTGACAACGTGTGTGTGAGTTGCTTCTTATTCGACACACTTAACTGTAAATCCTCGCTGTTCTTAGTAAGCGGTCTCTCCGTTGTTTCCTTTTTTTTTACTGAAACGTTTTGTGGCCCACTTTGAGCTAGCTGTATTTTCATATTCGTGGAAAATTGAAGTCTTTTTTTTATCGCGGGTGCTAACTGCAAACATAGTACTTCGGTAGTGAGTCGTACGTGCCACGCCACTATAATAGGTGTTCTAGTCATGCTTTACCTTTCGCGCAATTGGTGGGAATATTGGTGGTCTCCATGTCGGAATATGATTAACAGCAGACACCCAACACAATTGAACCCTTAACCCTAGCACCTATTATTGAGGGTGCACTGACCCGCGTGAGTACAGACGACGTGTCTTGCAGTGCCAATCTTTTCTTTGTTCAACTAAGTCGTACGGTCTACTCCTCGCTCCTACCTCGGCCCCTCGGGCAGCTGGATGGCGGGATATCTGTGCGCAAGGCTGTCAAGGCGGCGGGACAACAATGCCAAACGCAAGAAGAGCCCAAATATTGTTCCAGGTTATGGTACAAGTTCAATCCCCGAGCAGCGAGCAGCTGCTGTTATACTGTTCCGTTCTTCCCTTGGGTCCCTTGGATAGGTAAGCTAGAAACGAAAGAGAGCCGTAGCATATCGCTTGAAATGAACACCACTTGAGCGTTCCCCGTGCTCGCCACGTCGTAGTACCAACAACACGGTCGGTCACCTGTTTGTATGCGTCGGTATACCTTATATGACACAAGATAACACACCCCCTTGACCGATTTTCAAAGCTCGATTACTCCACGACGAAGGAGATACATGAACGAAATGATACATTTTCGACAAGCTCTCGACAAGACGATTTTAACGCCGCCCTTTTTCGGCGCTATGACTGTTCCTGAAGTTGAGAAATCGAGCTTTGAAAATTGGTCAAGGGGGTGTGTTATGTTGTGTCATACACGGTATACCTCAGGCGGGCAGCTGTCTATCTAGTCTATCTTGTATCTGGAATAACTGCTGCTGTAGAATGATTTTGGCGGGGATGGGTGTAGGTGCTCGGGACCCTCTCCCCTACCCAACATCCAACAATATCGCCCTATCTAACAGTTCGCATGGGTATGGTTTATGTTGGTGACACCAATAATTGGGATCACGATGCATGACAGGAGGTAGTAGAGAGGCAAGTGCAGGTTCAACTTAGAAAAACACTTCCTCTACTTTTCTACGGGGAATTGGTGTACGTGGGCCTGGTTGGATGGAAACGGTAGAGTACCGTTCTTTCCGGGTCTCGGTATGCTGAGACGGCATTTCGTTAGGCCCGGCGGTTGGCAAGGAACGGAAACTTGTATTCTGGATGAAAGAGGAAAGCGACCGGTGCCGCCCCCCCTTGCTAGTGAGCTCACCTTCCAGACTTCGTGGGAAAAAATAATGAAATGCCATTCGGAAAAAAACAACACCCGCCAACTTTCGCCGGCTGAAGCTCGCCTACGCATTCAGCCAGGGATCAACACGCGGAAGCAGGGAGAAAAACTTTTTACCGTGTGCATACGTACGTGCCAAACTTCTGTGTTTCTTCTCTTAAGGGTGCCACCACTAGCACACCTGACGAAGCAACGATGTACCCAACACCTTCCTTCTACACCTTCCCAGCATAACATACAGTAGACAGATGCATAAGATGGTTTTCGACCTGTCTTGTTGACCCTGTTACCCACGGGGGAGATATCGCTGTGTGCTGCTCGGGAAATCGATCATGGAAACACAGGTAGCATTGGCTGACGCTATGGATTGACTGCTCATCTATTTTAGACTCTCTTCTACGATGGAGATGGATTCGTTGGGTCATACTATGAGCAAAAAATATATACTTTTCTACGGGTTGCAATTACAACAGATACTCCAGGAGCTCATCACCTCAGGCACAAAACAGAGAGCAGGGGCGGGGTTGGAGATAGTGGCCGCATCCCGAACCACTAAGAGGTACAGTACAAACGTATAGCCTGTGGAGACGGGTTCAGGGCGAGGAGAAGAGCATTTACATTTTCTTAGTTGCCATTGTCGTTGTTGGTATTGTAGCACGACATATTACAGCAGTAGCCTTTGTTGTACCGCTTATTTCAGTAGCCGCACGGCAAAGGCCACACACCATACTGCCGACACAGCGACTTCTACTCTGGGCACAGCTACACGGATGGTACTCAGCATGAATCTCCTCCCAAGTTGTGGGGAACAGCAGCACTTGTTGTGTTCAAAACGTTGGTGGGAAACAAGCATGGTCTTGAGAATGAGCGCGTCTGACTTGAGAGTGAGCGCGTTCCTCTTATCTTTGCACACACTCCGAAGGACGCGGAGTGGGCCTGGCCAACCAAGTCGGCCAAACCGAAGCTGCCGAGCAACACCCCCCAGATTTTTTACTATTTGAGGATGAAGAGCCAACACCGTACCGTGGTCGATCGCTCGTACTGAATGTTGAAAATGTCGAATCGCAACTACGCGTCGGCCTTGCAAGAATCGTGGGTAGCGACGTTCTTTCTTTATCCTCCCCCTCCCTCCCTCTGACAAACATCGACCGATCTAGAAAGATCAAGAGTAAGAAACAGAGGAAAGTGTTCCGGTGGAAGGTAGAGCGTTTGGGAGACGAGGGGACACGGGATGAATTCCAGAAGGGACTGGCTGGTAGTGTAGAATCCTTCAGAAAACTGCTGAGAAGCGTCGAAGACGGACAGGTAGACGTACAGGCAGCAGGGGACAGAGTGATTGAAGGGTGGGAGTCCATCGTGAACGCAACGGCAGAGAGAGTAGTGGGAA